GTGCTTTTTGGCCCCTGATTACCAGAACACAGCTGAGGACCCTTGTCCTCTATTGGAAAGACAACTGTCAAATCAAGAAAAAGATTTGGGGCAAAATCCAAGGTCTCCCAGGAACTACAAACCAAACATCAGCCTATCTGGGGAGAAGGGAAACTTCCAATTTCCAGAGTAAGTGTAGGGAGAAGGGACCTCAGCTTTTAGAGAAAGCAAAATCCACGAAGTCCTCTTCCGTTCTGGGATTTGTTAGTCAGAGCTGGGTATCATCAGGAGATGGAAGTGGAAACCCTGGTACATGGGCCCAGGATGTGGGCAGGTTAGGGGAGGATGTGACGTTAAGCGCCCCAGCAGATGCCGTTACCCTGTTCTCACCCCTCAACAACTGACAGAGCATTCTGAATGCTGACGGCACTTTCCAAAGTTAAAATCTCTGGGTCATATTTGCCAACGACCGCCTGCAAACCTCTGTGACCTGAAAGATTTTCACCTTGGGTCCCAATGCAGTTCTTGACGCACGTCTCAAGGTCTCAAGTTTTACAAAGGCCAGACACCTGGCAAAGGGCTCTGTAGGCTTTCTGCTTTCTTTTTTGGAAATCTTGCAACCCACATATATTTATTTAATAATGTCTGTCTACACCTTTATCCTCCCATCCCACTAATGCTAATATTTCTGATGGAGCTTTTATTTTGAGAATGTGTGTTATTTATAGCTGGATGAAAAATCAGAAGAACTGGTTTCATTCTGATTCTGCTGCTAATTAAGTCAATCATGTAATTTCTGGAACCTCAGTTTCCTTGTAAGTAACACCTGTTCATTCTCCCTCCTTGGGCTGTTGGGAAGAATAGGTGAGTCATAGCTATAGAAGTACTTTGAAAATGCACTTGTCCTGTTTTATAAAATAAAGAAATAAAAAGACATTAAACATCTGTTTCTGCCATGTACCTAATGTTTATGCAGTGGGTATATTTCTGAAAAGTCATGTTGCAGATTTTTTGGTGAAACAAATGTTCTTTTATATTCAGTGTGCCCTATTTGAAATAATCCTACTATAGTGATATTTTCCCTTTTATTTTTATAAAATAAATATACATTGATAAAGTCAACCTGTATCTTGTCATTAGTTTTGTGTCCAGGTGAATTTGTTCGGAGAAGTCGCTCTGCATCCATGAGCCGGGATATGATGGGGTAGCCAAGAGATTGTGTGCTTGCTGTAAATGCTGGCTGTTAATAGCTGTGTCATTTTGGGCTAAGTTAGGACATTACTTTGAGCCTCTGTTTCATCTATACCATGGGGAGAATAAAAAGTACCTGTTTCATAGGTTTATTGTGAGAGCAAGGGTCAGATTCTGGCTGGTGTAAGCATTCAACAGCCCCCCAGCAATGTCAGCTTTGTACTGATATGTAAAAAGCCAGGTGGGCTTCAGCCCAGGTGGACAGTGATCTGTACTGACACCCCGTCTTAAGCTCCGGTGGCATGTGGAAAGCACCTTATAATTATGAGCAGGGTATTTACAGGGCTCTTTGAGCAATAGAGGGCAGATGCTAATAGGGTTCTGGTTATCCAGACATACTTGCATTTCTAGACTCGGGCTTCATATATTTCTGGAGAGATTCATTGAGAATCTGATTAAAGCTGCAGAACTCCCTTCAACAAGCTGTAAAGACATACACATACATTATTAATTATGTGTATTAATTATGTGTATTAATTCCAGGGGTTCTTGGGCACCACAGTGCCTTTCCACAAATCCCCAGAGGGTTGAATGGCCCGACGTTTTAAAGATGAATATGAGCGAAAAATCCAACCAGTACAAAAGGTCACCTGATGGAAAGGAAGCCATTTAACCATTGGAACTTAGGCTCTCATTTCTTCTCCCCAAAGGCAAACACTGTTACTAATTTATTACTAGTTCCAGAGGTGATTAGAAAAAAGCTTTCTATCTAATTGGTGGACTTCATTAGTCATTGTGTGTGTTATGTGCTGTTGAGTTGGCTCTGACTCCTGGCAATTCTATGAATGAGTGATGTTCACAACCCTGTGCTCAACAGCCCTGCCAGTTCTTGTAGACTCGTGTCTATGGCTCCTTTAATGGAGTTAATCCATCTCATATTTGGCTTTTTTCTCTTCCTGCTGCCTTCTACTTTTCTCAGCATTATTGTCTTTTCCAAGGAACCCTGGCTTCTCATGGGTAGTCCAGGGTATTTGTAGAGCTTCCCTCCAACATCATATTCAAATTAACTCTCTTGTTTCCTTCCCGATTAGCCTTCTTCTTTGTCCAACTTTTGCCATCCATACATGCTAATTGAAAATACGAGGGTGTGGATCACCTTAGCTTTGGTTTCTAATGACACTTCTTAGCTCTGGGTGACCTTTCCTAAGTCTTCCATTCCTGACCTTTTGAGTCTCAGCCTTCTCTTCATTTCTTGGCTGCAGTCTCCATTTAATTGATGACTGAACTAAGGTAAGCATTAGTCATTAGGGAAATGTAAATAAAAAACACAATGAGATACCACGTCACACCTAGGATGGCCATAATAAAAAAGACAGGCAATAAAGTGTTGATAAGAATGTGGAGAAATACCCATCCAGCGTGGCTCAGTGGTTGAGTGTCTACCTATGAACCAGGAGGTCATGGTTTGGTTCCTGGTCAGGACACGTGCCTGGTTGCGGTAGGGAGTGTGTAGGAGGCAGCCGATCAATGATCTTTCTCTCTCATCAATGTTTCTATATCTCTCCTGCTCTCTCTGAAATTGATAAAAACGTTTAAAATTTTAAAAAATGATAAAAAAAAAAAAGAATGTGGAGGAATTAGAACCCTCATGCTTTGGTGGTGAAATTGTAAAATGGTGAGCTGCTTCCCCCACATTCTCAGCTGCAAAATGTTAAATATACTAGTAGTTTCCATATGACCCAGCAATTCCACTGGTAGATAGCTACCTAAAAGAAATGAAAACATATGTCCATACAAAAGCTTGTGCACCAGTGTTCACAGCAATATTCAGAATAGCAGAAAGTAGAAACAACCCAAATGTTCATCAACAGATGAATGGATAAACAGAATGTGCTATATCCAAGCATTGGAAGATTATTAATAAAAATTTTTTTAATTAAAAGTTATCCATAAAAAAGAAGTACTGATACATGCTACAACATGGATGAACCTTGAAATGATTTTGCTAAGTAAAATATATGATTCCATTTTTATGAACTGTCCAGAACAGGCAAATCTACAGAGACAGAAACTAGGAGTGGGGGTGGGGGAGGTTGAGAAGGGAAGTAGTAATGGTCACAAGATTTGGGGGTAATGAAACTGTTCTAAAAGTAGATTAGAGTTATGGTGATGGTTGCACAATTCTAAATATACTAAAAAAATATGTTAAAAACCCATCAAACTATATATAGGTGAATTTTATGGTATATAAATTATATCTCAATAAAGTTGTTAGAAACACACAAATATACAATGGTCAATCTTAGGCATTAAAAAAAAAATCTTGCCCTAACTGGTTTGGCTCAGTGGATAGAGCATCGGCCTGCGGACCGAAAGGTCCCAGTTTCGATTCTGGTCAAGGGCATGTACCTGGGTTGTGGGCACATCCCCAATAGGAGGTGTGCAGGAGGCAGCTGATGGATGTTTCTCTCTCATTGATGTTTCTAACTCTCTATCTCTCTCCCTTCCTCTCTGTAAGAAAATCAATAGAATATATTTTAAAAAAATCTTGAGGTTCCACTCCTCTCTCTTTTTATTATTTTTTGCTTTACACGGGTTATTTCATTCACGCTGCTCTGGATTCTGTGTTTTTTCATGTCTTTCTTGGCTATTCTTTCTCAACAGTACATTTGGGTCACTTCACTCTTTTTGCCTGATAGTCCACTATGGATAGTCTGCACTTTATATAACGAGCTTTGCATGTTGCAAACTGAGGTTGTTTTCATTCTTGCACTACAAATACTGATGCCTTCGTGCCAACTTACATGTCCTTCAGTGACATATGGGATAGCATTTCCCCACATTCTCAGTTGCAAAGAATCTTTTTTTTTTTTCTCAGTTGCAAAGAATCTTATCATGCTTTTAAAATATATATATTTAAAAAAAATGAAAAATATATATTTATTGACTTGAGAGAGCAAGAGAGAGACAGAGACGTCGATTTGTTGTTCCACTTTTTCATGCATTCACTGGTTGATTCTTGTATGTGACCTGACTGAGGACTGAATCCACAGCTTTGGTGTATCCAGACGATGCTCTGACTGGCCAGGGCAACATTTATGCTTTTTAATCACTGCCAATCTAATGGGTGAAAACAATTTTATTTGTATTTTTGACTGAAGTAGAGCCATTTAAAAAATATTTTGTTAGGCTTTCGTAATTTCTTTGTTCATTCCTTTGTCCATTTTAATACGAATTCTCTTATTGCTATAGTTTTTACATGATAAGGCCATCAGACCTTTGTCATATGTTTCAACTATTTTTCTTGTCTTTCGACTTCGGTATTTTTTGCCAAGCGGGTATTTTACATTTGCGTGTAGTCTCTTTTTCCCTCCTTGGCTTCTAACTCCTAATTCTGCTACTTTCTGGGCGGGTCACTTGGTCTCTCTGAGCCAGTTTCCTGCGCTGTATATGGACGGGGTGATGATGCTGATGATGCCGGTTTGATGAGCATGTGCAGATCTGAGCGCGTGGGGCTGAGGGGTTCACGCCGAGCAGCGGGGAGCGGCTCTCCGGAATCCCGGTCCGCGGCCGCCCCCTACCTCCTGAGCGGGCGGCCACAGGAAGTGCGCGGCCTTGGCTTCAACTTCGCGCTCCTCCGACCCACGTGAGTGGCTCCGACCCACGTGAGTGGCTCCGCCTCACCTCGCTTCCGACCAATGGACGAGTTTCATAAGGCGTAGGGTCCCGCCTTCCAGCCTCCTGGCCAACAGGCGAGCTCCGTCTTGCTCGGAGTCCCGCCCCTCGTGGATGGGAGCAATAGGCGCCCTCAGTCCGGCGCAGGACCCGCCTCGCCGCACGCCGGGCTGCGGGCCGCAGGGCTCGTTCCGGGAGGCGGGCGCAGCGGAGGCCCTTGGAGTCGGATCTCGGGCGGAGGCCGCAGTATTGGGGCGGGCGGCGAGCGGGCGGCAGCGGGCCGACGTCTGGGCCGCGCGGCACAGGGACAGAAGGGGCGGCCGGTCGAGTCGGGGGTGGTTCCGAGGCGGCGGACCCGGGAGTCTCCGGCTCCTGAGGGGCGGCTCGGGCCCCTTTCTGGCCCGGGCTGGTCCGCGGGGCCGCGGGAGCAGGGCGGGCTGCGCGCCGGTCCGGCCCTGCCCTGCGGCCCGCCGTCGGCGTTCTGGGCCTCCGGGCGGCGCGCCCGCCCCAGGGCCGCGGGTCCGGCCGCCATGTGTAGACCTTCAAGCGCCTGTCGTCTTTGAAGCGCTTTGACATCTCCGAAGGGCTTTGTATTGCAAACTAAATCAAAGCGCCGAGTAGCCCCGGAAGCGCTTTGACGTCTCCGAAGTAGCGTGGTGCAAACTGAAGCGTCTGGTGATCGCGGAAACACGTTGTGGGCTTGGAAGCCGAACCGAAGCCGGCAGTAAACCTTGCAGTGGTCCGACTCCTCCGAAGCGCTTTGGCATCTCCGGAACCGAGAGAACTGTGATGGGCAGTGGAAAGAAGGGGGAAAGGTCGGTAAGGCGGTTTCCTGGCTCTGGCCTGCCGGCTTGCCCTGGCCCGGCGGGCCCGGGATGGCGGACGTCGGAGGAGGGGCAGCCGGGAGGGGCGGTGGTGGACTCCCGGCCTCCTCTTTCCCTCGCAGGTGCCCATGGCGTCGGAGCGGCGCAAGGTCAAGTACCACTGGAGCAGCCCTTCGGAAAGGCGTCCCCGCAAGCGCAGCTGCCTCCGGGAGGCCGGTGATGTGGCCCCCTCCAGACGGCCCGCTCCCAGCTCTGCGTCGCGTGCCGGCGGGGCCCGCAGCCCCAAGCGCCTGAAAGCCCAGAAGGAAGACGATGTGGCCTGCCCGCCCGAGGTGTCCTGGGACGCCACCCGCCGCCGAGATTCCTCCTCCTCCTCTGCCTCCTCCCGGTCCTCCGGCCCAGGTGTGGACGGGGCTGCCTCCAAAGGCTGCCTGATCCGGAGCACGCGGGCTTTCCTTCCGTCGGGGGGCTCCCCTCCGCGCCCTGCCAGCCCCTCTCTAGAGGAAATGGCTTCTCCAGAGGAGGAAACCTGTAGCCTTAAGGTAGGTAGGTGGCCGCGACGCCTCGACAGACACCTGGGAGGCCCCTTCCACGTGGCTCGCGATGTTGGGGAGGGGGATTTAGGTGGAAGGAGACTGAAAAAGAGCATGTCCTTTAAGATCCCTGGGTTCTTCCCAGAGGTCTTCTTCGTGCAAACACAGACGAGCGAGCAAGCAGTTGCCCGGGGAGGTGGCCTGGAGAGGTGGTTTTCAAACTTGGCGGCACTTGGAACTACTTGGAAAGCTTTCAAACGCTGGGGCCTGCCCCCCACCCACCCTGATTTAATGGGGCTGGAGTGGTGGTGTGGTCTGTGCATCGAGGTTGGAGAAGCCCTGCAGTCGAAGGGATTGCGTGCTCCCGAGACACATACGTATGTAGTTTAGTTGTGTACATTTAGGGATTGTGTCCTTGTACGTTGGACCACTCTGCATCCGAACCAGGGGATAGGAATTTGGTTTTGCTATGGCCCTTCACTAAAGTTACGGCTTCCAGAATGTTGGAATTCTGGTTGGTGGGGCAAGAAGAGTTGTTTTGCAGGTTTCAACATTTAGTTCCGGATGGGAACACACAGGTGGGTTTTTGAGTATTTGCAAGGGGACTAAGGAGTGCTTCATAGAGGAGATTTACACCTACTCATTCATTTTATATTAACGTGTGTTTTTTGAAAGGGGTAATAAAATTTTCCCAGCGTGTGTGTGTGTGTAAGTGTGTAAAAGTTGAACATGAGTCTGTTGGAAATAGAAGCAAACACAGTTCAATCTCATGTCTGCTGTTTCCCCATTAGAGTAGAACGAGCACTAGCTGATATCACTCACCAGGCATACTGTGTAAGCTTCATCCACTTAATCAGGTTTTGAACAAATATTTATTGAGGGCCTAGATTGTGTCAGGCAGTGTTCTAGTTGCTTGGGATGCTCCTGTAACAGAAACAAAGATCACTGCCCTGTTAGAGATTGCATTTTAGGTTTTGGAGCTCAAGTTTATAAGGTGAGGAGGTCTGCATGTGGAAGAGTGGAGAAAAAGTCTTTATCTGGGGTGGGGGGAAGGTGGGCTGTCCCTAGAAAAGAGTTATTTTACAAAAGCAATAAAAACAAGGCCCCAAGAAAAGTTGGGTTTGTCTTTAAGTCTGTTCAGTGGTTTTTTATGTGGAGCGGAGCAATGAGGCTGTGGTATTTGGCTGTTCATCCTGGAGAACTCTTGTGCTGAGTGCTCCAAGCCAGGTGTTCTCAGTGTGGACCTCGCAGAACCTTATATGGTCATGTGGGTCTTTTACAAACTTTAATAGTGAATTTAAAAGCTTTGTCTTTGGCATAAGAATACTGAATATACGCCCTAGCCGGTTTGGCCCAGTGGCTATGGCGCCGGCCACTGAAGGGTTCCCGGTTCGATTCAGGTCAAGGGCATGTACTTCAGGTCAAGGGCATGTACTCGGTTGTAGGCTCCCGGCCCTGGTCAGGGGCTTGTGGAAGGCAACCAATCGATGTGTCTCTCTCACATTGGTGTTTCCACCTCTCTCTCTCTCTCCCCCCTTCCCCTTCCTCCCTGCCTTCCAGTCTCTCTAAAAATCAGTGGAAAAAATGTCCTCAGGTGAGGATAAAGGAAAAAAAAATGCTAAATATGATTCATTGTAAATCAGGTGAGTATGGGGCTTTGTGCATACAATTTAATCTTGTCATTAATCCTTCTTGATGTAATTTCTGTGGATTTGGTACAACATAAAATAGTATTAATTGATTAGCCCCGACAGGTGTGGCTCAGTGGAAGAGCTGCACTCCAAAGGGTATTGTGTTCAATTCCCGGTTAAGGGCAGGTACCTGGGTTGCAGGTTTGATTTCCAGCCCTGGTCCGGACTCTCATGCAGGAGGCAACCAGTTGATGTGTCTCTCTCACATCGATGTTTCTCTCTCTTTCCCTATCCCTCTTTCCCTCTCTCCCTTCCACTCTCTCTAAAAATCATTGAAAATAATATCCTCAGGTGAGGATTAACCAAAGAAAATATATCTATATGTATCTCAATTGATTAAATTTAACTTCTATGGCAATTACAGATAGAGTGAAGCCTGGTGTTAGGAGGGGCAGAAAGTTAACCTTGCTTATTATTAGTCTTTGAGGTATGCTGCATCCCTGGTGGCCTCTAAGCCAGGTGGGTCTAATCCTAGTATGGACCCACCTTTCTCTCATTTAGCCCTAAAGGGTCTTGTTTTGCCAAAATCAATTTAATGGTTAACCATGGAGCAATGAGTAGTCCAGGCCTGTCTAGCAGTCTTTGGGTTTATCAGTGCCTTGCTTTCGGTCAATAAGCATTTACGGTTATTGTGTGCCAAACACTCTGTTGGGTCTTGGAGCAGGAAATGGCTTCTGAGGAGCACACAGTCTGTTGGGAGGGTTGGAGAAGTCATGAGACTGTCTATGGTGGAGCAAAAAGCCTAGAATGGAGGTTGGAGAGCTAGGTAGGGGGCAGATTGCTGCAGGGGTTTATTAGCCAAGGGAATTTGGATTTTATTCTAAGCCATTCGAGTTTATACAGGACTCTATACAGAGGGAAGGTAGCTTTGCATTTTGAAAGATCATTCATGCTGAGTGAGGTTAGAATATGAGGATGTTGATACAGTGAACTCTTGATTTTTCTGACCTTTGACTTAATGGGCTTCGGATTTAAGGGACAAAAATGCTGTAGCCAGTTTGGCTCAGTGGATAAAGTGTTGGCCTGTGAACTGAAGGGTCCTGGGTTCGATTCCAGCAAGGGCACATGCCCAGGTTGCCAGCTCGATCCCCAGTAGGGGGTGTGCAGGAGGCAGCTGATGAATGATTCTCTGGTAGCGTTGATGTTTGTACTCCCTTCCTCTCTGAAACCAATAAAAATATATTTAATTAAAAAAAATGTCCAGTCTGTACGTGAAAATTAACACCCTGGTAATTTTAAAATGCGTTTAACCAAGATTTGGTTATAATTATATGAATATGTTATTTCTGTTATTCAGTTATTTTGAACAAATTTTAGCAAATAGGCCATATGTTGGAAAAAACACTGTAGCAGTTGTGCTAACATAAATATTACATATTTACAACTGTAGTCTACATATATAAATCCAAGAGCCATTGCTTGCAAGCTGTGTTTGGTGAATGATTAGCACATGATCTCACTGCATTGCCCCGAGGTAATTGGTTCTGTTGTCTCTTAGGGTGAATTCCTGCAGGAGTTTTAACTCATGTTGGTGATATTCCGATGTGCGCTAACCCACGCCTCAGTCGTGTGCATTTGTTCACTCGAGGTGACTGGTGAATGCACGCGTTTATTAGACCTATTCAGTATAAATTTAAAGTTACAGTAATGCATAGAGAAAACTTTTCTGTTAAATTTAACTTTTCATATATACTTAATTCTAATCACACAGATGTGTCTACATAAGTAAAAACTAATTTATCAATTTTTTAACATGCATTTGGAAAACTTTATTATATAATAGAATTTCACTTTAACAGACACCTCCCTTTGCTCGAATTAGTCCATTATATTGAGGTTTTACTGTATTACCAATCTTAATTGTCTGTCTCTAGCACTGCTAAGGGCTCTCCCTAGAGTAAGTTTGTAAACAACGTATACAGTATTTCACTCATTTTGATGAATTACAAAATGTCTCTCTTACCTTCCCCCTCAATCTGTACCTCTTACCCCTTTTCTCTGCAGACCAACTTGTTGGTCTAGTAAGAACAAGCTAAGGGGCACACAAAAAATGGCATGTTCTTATCTAGGTTCTTCCAAGGTCCCCTCTGCACTCTTCTACCCACACATTACCTGCTCTTCTGTTTGCTCTGTAACCTTTGAGGGATACACACTTGGTTTTGTGTGTGGTTACCTCCACCCCCCTTTCCACGGCCTCAACACAGAGATCTCTGTGCCAGGTCATAGAATATTCAGGGGGAAGATTCTTTTTAAAATATATTTATTAATTTTAGAAAGGAAGGGAGGTGGGGGAGAGATAGAAATATTACTGATGAGAGAGAATCATTGATCAGCTGCCTTCTGCATGCCCCACACTGGGGATTGAGCCCACAACCCAGGCATGTGCCCTGACCAGGAATCGAACTGTGACCTGCTTCATAGGTCAATGCTCAATCACTGAGCCATATCACCCCAGCCGGGGGAAGATGTTTGTCTTAGCCTGTTATGGCTGCTATAACAAAATACCACAGACTGGGTAACTTATAAACAACAGAAATGTATTTCCTACAGTCTTAGAGATTGGAAGTCTGAGATCAGAGTGCCAGCATGGTCAGGTGATGGTTTTCTCCATGGTTGCAGACTTTTCATTTTGTCCTCACATGGCAGAAGGGGTCATTTGGGGCCTCTTTGGGAAGAACATTAATTTCATTTTTAAAGAAAATATATTTTTGATTTCAGAGAGGAAGGGAGAGAGAGAGAGAGAGAGAGAGAAATATCAATGATGAGAGAGAACCATTCATTGGCTGCCTTCTGCACACCCCACACTGGAGATCAAGCCCGAACCCAGGGCATATGCCCTGATCAGGAATTGAACTGTGACCTCCTGGTTCATAGTTAGACGCTCAACCACTGAACCATGCCAGCTGGGCTAATCCCATTTCTAAGGGCTTCACTCTCATGACTTAATCTTTTTTCAAAGGCTCTTCCACCTAGTACCATCATCTTGGGGTCAAATTTCAATATGAATTTTGGTGTGAGGGGAGAGACATTCAGACCATAGCTAGACTGGGGCATTTTGGAATCAGTAGAGAGTCCTGCTGGCCAGCCTCATATTGTTTGTTCCTTATCACCTCTAGGACAATTGTTTGAGAGGTTTTCTCAAATCCTAATGGTAGCTGATGATCTTTGTTTATAGAGAAAGTTAAATGTGTCTATTATGAACACCTTCACCTACCTTAATTTAGTCTTAATTATGACATAAAATTTTATATTCAACAGGAAAGGAAGAGTGGAAGGGAAAATTTGAGCATTCATAATGTGATAGGCTTTGATCAAATATTCTTTTTTTTTTTTTAATATATTTTATTGATTTTTTACAGAGAGGAAGGGAGAGAGATAGAGAGAGAGAAACATCGATCAGCTGCCTCCTGCACACCCCCCACTGGGGATGTGCCCGCAACCCAGGTACATGTCCTTGACCGGAATGGAACCGGGGACCCTTCAGTCCGCAGGCCGACACTCTATCCACTGAGCCAAACCGGCTTCGGCTGATCAAATATTCTTAATGTTTGTCCTATAGACTCATAATTCTCAGAGTCTTGTGAAGTAGTGTTATCTTTGCACATTAGTTAACAAATATTTACATATGATTAACAAATATTTAAGCACCTACTATGTGAAGGCACTGGGAAAATGAGACTCAGGTTAAAAAACTTAAGTAGGTCCATGCAGCTTGTATGTGGCAGAGCTGTGGTGTAATGCCAGATCAGACTGGCTTAAAAGGCAGGGTTCTCTCCATTGCTGCCCTCTGGAGCACCTGCTCTGTCCTGGCCCAGCATTAGATGTGAGGGATGGAGAGATGAAGAGGGCAAGATCCTTCTCCTGTGGTGCTCTCTGCAAGGTGACACAGCCCAGACACAAGAAACTATTGTGGCCCTAGCTGGTTTAGCTCTGTGGATACAGCGTCGGCCTGTGGGCTGAAGGGTCCCGGGTTCGATTCCAGTCAAGGGCACATGCCCAGGTTGCGGGCCCCATCCCTAGTAGAGGGCGTGCAGGAGGCAGCCAATCAATGATTCCCTCTCCCTTCCTCTCTGAAATCAATAAAAATATATTAAAGAAAAGAAAAGAAACCATTGTGTACCTTGGATCTTGAATGCTAAAGCTTTCTTCGCATGTAACCCATTTCTTGCATATTCCCTCAGCAGATGTCCAGTGCTTGGGTGGAAGTCTGTTTTAGAGGCTAGATGTGCAAAGAATAAGGCAATGGTAGACAGACTGAAAAAAGCCTTCATCATAGTGCAGTGCATGGAGTGTTGTAACAGCAATATTTGAAGTACCAAGGGTCAAAGGAATGGGTGACAAGTCACAGGGAAAGTTCTCGTAGAAGAGGTATCATTTTAGTTCTGGTGGACAAGGAGGAGGAAGGCTATTTCAGGCAACAGGAACAATGTGTGTCCAAAAAGTGTCAGGAAATACTGCTGGTCTGCAGTGCTTGGGGACATTACTGGTTCCTGTGGGTCCTCCTTCCCCTCTTCTCCAGCGTCTTTCTTCATTCCCCAGGCACCTGGCTGTATGAAGAAAGGTGGGAAATGATGCGGCAAAGAAAGGTTGGGGGGCAGCCTGGGAAGGGCTTCCAATGTCATGCTCAGGAGTGTGGGATGCATTCTGTAGGCAAATGCAGAGCCATTGAAGGGTGTTAAGCAGAGGTGTGACATTGCCAGATTTTAGAACTTCTGGCTCATTGTAGAGAAACGATGGGAGGGAGTAGGCAGGAAGCTTGTTAGCAACTCTTGAAAATGTTCAGGCTGGGCACTCTCCATCTCTGGAGCACACCTGAGCCTTTCCTGGGTCTCTCCCCTGCACCCCACCCCCACCCCCCTGCCCCTACTTACCTTTACTCTTTTCTCTCCTAAGCTCCAAGGGTCTTTTCTTTTGCCTCTAGAAGTAACTTGTTTCGTGAGCCCACTTTTTTCTATAGGTCACTTCTACTTCTGTGACTTTATAAATAAAATAAAGAAAAATATGATTTGAGAGAGAGAGGGAAAAACATCAATCATTTGCCTCCTGTACGGTAAGCACCCCAACCAGGGATTGAACCCACAACCTTTTGCCTTTTGGTGTATGGGATGACACTCCAACCAACTGAGCCACCCAGTTAGGGCTAAATCTCTCCTTTTCAAAGCCAGGTGTTTGTCTCTGCTCCAGTACTTTCCGCCTAATCTTGACCTTTATAGCGTCCTATCCACTGTTGAAACTCTTCCTCATTGATCTTAGGTCCTCATGGCCTTTGACATCTCAGCCTTTGATACTGCTCCTAAACTTTCATATTTTCCCTATTCTCCCTTGGTTTCCAGGGTGTTAGGGGGAACTTGAATTTGAATCCTGCTTCTGCCACTTAAAATTCATGTGACACTGTCCTCTGTAAGGAGGGGCAACAGCTGGGGCAGCTCTGTAAATTTTAAGTATATGGAAATATAAGCTATGGTATTATATCCCTTACCTTTTTTTTACTTCCACAAGTACAATCCTGATCTCTACCACGGTTTCCAAAAGGCGGTCCATATGCTGAATGTGGCCTGCTAGGTCCTCACAAATTTTAAAATTTTGGGGAGTTCACATTAAAAATATATGCCTTTAGCTCCAGTGTGGCTTCGTTGGTTGGGCATGGTCCCATGTACCAAAAGGTTGCTGGTTTGATTCCCGGTCAGGGAATGTGCCTTTTTGAGGACTCTCTCTCCATTTCCCTTCCTCTCTTTCTAAAAACCAATAAAAAAAAATCTTAAACGCACACACATGCACGCCTCTAGTTCAAACCTCTGCCTTGATAGCTCAATTGATGTTTCTTTCTTTTCAGATTTAATCCATTGGAGTGAATTATTCAAAGTGAATACATTTTTTGGGACACTCTGTGTTTCCAAAGGTTTATTTTTTTTTTTATTTTTTTATTTTTTAAGAATATATTTTATTGATTTTTTACAGAGAGGAAGGGAGAGAGATAGAGAGTTAGAAACATCGATGAGAGAGAATCATCGATCAGCTGCCTCCTGCACACCTCCTACTGGGGATGTGCCCGCAACCCAGGTACATGCCCTTGACCGGAATCGAACCTGGGACCTTTCAGTCCGCAGGCCGATGCTCTATCCACTGAGCCAAACCGGTTTCGGCAGGTTTATTTTTTTTAAACAAGGATATGTGCTTCTTGGGGGGGGGGGGGGATTCAAATAATACAAGAAGCATATAAAGTAAGAGCTAAAGCCCCTTTTTCATCTTTCCCCTTAATCCCCAAAGATAGCCATTAGAAGAAACAATTGGTCTTTCAGACTTTGTTTGCAAATATATACATATAAGGCATTTTTGTCTGTTCAAATGTGAATTTATACATTGTGCTTGTTAGTTACTTACTGTATAGCATGGACATCAGAGCTCCCTCATTCTTTTTAAAAGTTGAATTTGTTTACTTTAATCAATCCCTGTTGCTGGACATCTCTTGCATGGACTCTACTTTTCCTCAGTAGAGGAAAAGGATTAGCAAGTTTAGTGTGGAGTTTCTTACTAATTGTTTGAGAGGAATTTAATGCAAGTGAATTAGAAGTACAAGTTGTAGGAGCTGTAGGCTGCCTTGGGACAGGTCACAAGTGGGGTGTTTGGAGTGCACTGCTTTGGGGATGGTTCTCAGGGAAGATTTATGGAGCATTCTTACACCAGGCTGGGATTAGACTAGATCTGAGTGTCACAGCAAATTAATATTGTGAGTAAGTAATTTAGCTTATTTCTTGTGGACTTTGTAATGGCTGCATGTGGAGAGGTAGAGAAGAAAGGGGCTGAGACTTTACTTTCATCTCTGAGGAGATTTGGGGTGAGGGGCTAGGTCTCTTGATTGACCCTGGGACCAAGGTACCTTTCAAAACCAAGGTTTTGATTTGGGGGAAGGATTTTGCAGAGAACTCCAAGGAAGCTGGGGGTATAGTGGAAAGCACACTGCCCTCAGGAGTCAGAAGATTGGCGTTCACTCTTCACAGGGCCCGTGGTTCCTTCACTCTTCGTTGTGGGATTGGGTCATCTGGTTTCTGGGGACCTTTCCAGTACAAAAATGTTAAACTTTTGTTTTGCCTGGGTGTGTTCTGAAATATATGGTAGTCCTTGCTCTTAAGGAAGTTCTCTCAGCTCATTCCTTCCTACTGCAGTACGAGGATGCTGTCTGATAAGTGTGAGAAAGTGAGAACATTAAGAAACAGCAGCACACTGGTGTGGCTCAGTTGGAGTGTCAACCTGTGCACCAAAAGGTGGCAGGTTCAATTCCCGGTCAGGGCACGTACCAGGGTTGCAGGTTTGATCTCTGGTTGGAGTGTGTGTGGGAGGCAACCAATCGATATTTCACACTCACAATGTCACTCCCCTCCCTCCACTCCTCCACCTCTCATTAATATAAAAGCATGTCCTCTTCCTCTCCCCCTCCCCCTCCCCTTCCCATCAATAGAAAAGCATGTCCTTGAGTGAGGATTAAAAAAAGAGAAAAAGAAATAGCAGCAGTTCAGTCCCTTTTACAGTGGGTAGGATGGAAACTATCACTCAAAGAGAATCTTTGTCTTGGCCACTATCACTTTCCCTTTGATTGGCGGAGTGCCACTGGCGTTTAATTTGCCAAGTGCTTTATGTATGAACTGATCTTTTCATGATCTGTGTTTTCTTCCAGGTTAATTCCAAAGATAGTTCTCGTAATTCCACGAACTCTGAGTTTGCAGCTGAAGCTGAGGGTCAAAATGATAAAATTGAGGAACCAAGCAAGGTTCAGAAAAAGAAGAGGGATAGACTTCGAGACCAAGGCTCTACAATGATCTACCTGAAGGCTATCCAGGGCATTCTGGGAAAGTCAATGCCAAAAAGGAAGGGCGAGACTGCCACTAGGGCAAAACCAGACACAGGAGATTGTCCCAACCGTGGAGAAGGACCAGCCAGGAGTGTCACTGTGTCTACTCCTCAGAAAGAGAAGGAGGCAACCCCAGAGGTCAGAGTGAAAGAGGAAAAAAAGGCTGTGCTAGAGAGAAGCAGCTTCTGTGACAGGAGAGTGGTGATAGACCCTCAGGAGAAACCCAGTGAGGAGCCACTTGGTGACCGAAGGACAATTATTGACAAGCGCTCTCCACCCCTAGAATTTTTGGATGATTCTGACTCTCATTCAGAAAGCCACAAGGTGAGTCTTGCTCATGCCGAGAATGGAGGTTTTTAGTTCTCTTGATTAAATGTAGTATTTGCTCTTTCTGGTTTGAGCCTAATTGTTACTCATTAAAGCAGTGCTTTTCTTACTCAGGATTCCAGGCAACAAATTGATGGTTCTCTTCCAAAATACCTTTTAGAGTTAATTAAGAAATCTCAGATTAGTGCTATCTTCTTTTTTTGGAATTTATATGCTTGTTAGGATATGGATTTGCCTGCTGTACAAAACCCAAAATAATAGTGGCTTAAATTAAATAGAAGTTTGACTTGAGGAGGATGACTCCACCGTGTCAGGGACGCTGATGCCTTCTGTCTTGATGCTCTGCTGCTCCTCAGCAGTTTCTGTCCTGTGGTCTGAGATGACTGCTCTGACAGGACTCAGTACATTACATTGATCAGTCCAGCCAAGAGGAAGAATAGATGAAAGTACACCCCCTCCCTTTTAAGAGCTTGGCTCATAAGTTGTCCACATAGTATCTGCTCATATCTACTGACAAAAATCTAGAAACCTGGCCAACACCTAACTGCAAGAGAATCTGGAGAATTAACTTCCATTTGGGCAGACTTACACCCAGATAAACTTTCATTGCTATTAAGAAGGAGAGAGTGAGCCATGGCTGGGTGGCTCAGTTAGTTGGAGCATTGTCCTGTACACCAAAAGGTTTTGGGCTCAATTCCCGGTCAGGGCACATTCTTAAGTTGCAGGTTTGATCCTTAGGTTGCGGGTTTGATTCTTAGATTGGGGTGTGTATGGGAGGCAACCCATCGATGTTTCTCTCTCCTGCTCTAAAAATCAATAAAAACATATCCTCAGGTGAGGATTAAAAAAAAAAAAAAAGCCCTGGCTGATGTGGCTTGGTTGGTTGGAGTATAGTCCCATGCATTGGAAGGTCATGGGTTCAATTCCTTGTAAGGGCACATACCTAGGTTGTGGATTCGATCCTCAGTCAGGCATTGAAGTTTCTCTCTCCCCCTTCCTCCCTCTCTAAAAATAATAATAATAAAAAAAAAGTTCACTCACACATTGGGCAGTTGATGCTGGTACCTATGTATGACCCTCTCTAACAGTGGTCTTGGCCAGTATGATTTCTTTTCTTTTTTTAAAAAAATATAGTTTATTGTTTTTTTGCATAGAGGAAGGGAGAGGGATAGAGAGTTAGAAACATCGATGAGAGAGAAACATCGATCAGCTGCCTCCTGCACACTCCCTACTGGGGATGTGCCCGCAACCAAGGTACATGCCCTTGACCAGAATCGAACCTGGGACCCTTCCCAGGCCGACGCTCTATCCAATGAGCCAAACCGTTAGGGCGGGCAGTATTTCTTTCTTTTTTTAAAAAAATATATTTTATTGATTTTTTTACAGGGAGGAAGGGAGAGGGATACAGAGTTTGAAACATCAATGAGAGAGAAACATTGATCAGCTGCCTCCTGCACACCCCCTCCTGGGGATGTGCCCGCAACCAAGGTATGCCCCCGACCAGAATCGAACCTGGGACCCTTCAGTCCCCAGGCTGACACTCTATCCACTGAGCCAAGCCGGTCAGGGCGGGTATGATTTCTTATGTGGTGATTGACTTCCCCCAGAGGAGCAAGCTGAGAGATACTAGAGGGAGCTACAGCTTGACCTACTCTTGGAGGTTTCACTACTGCACTCTGTTGGTTACAAGTAAGTCAGTAAGGCCCAGGTTCAAGGACAGACCACCATCTTTCAATGGGGAGTAGTGTCAGAATTTGCAGACACATATTACAATGCCACAACTGAAATTCTGACCAGGTAGCTCAGTCAGTTAGAGCATCGTCCTGATATGCCAAGGTTGCATGTTTGATCTTTAGTCAGGGCACATATAAGAATCAACCAATGAATGCATAAATAAGTGGAACAACAAGTTGATTTTTTTTTCTCTCTCCCTTTCTGTCTCTCAAATCAATTAAAAAATGTTAAAAACAAACAAACACAAAAATGGCCCTGGCTGGTGTGGCTCAGTTGGTTGGAGCGTTGTCCCATAGGCCAAAAGGTGGTGGGTTCAATTCCTGGTCAGGGCACATTCCCAGGTTGCAGGGTCAACTGTGTGGTTTTGCATTTTGAATGTATTAGAAATGTGTTGTTAGAGATGAGATTCCTGGCACTGTTTTTTTCTAATATCCCCAATACACAGAGCAGTTTTTCTTAAGAGGGATCATTCAGAGAGAGTGCAGATACAGCATCCCCTTTAGGGATGGCATTATGAGTTTATCCCTGATTTGACTGTTCATAGCTATAACCTGGCTCACTTTCTGGAAATAATAAGAAATCTAGGTGACAGGTAAGTTAAATGAGCCAATGCAAAACCTTCACCATGGCCAAAAAACAAGCCAGAGCTTATGTTCTCTAGATGACAGAGTGTGGGAGGCTGTCTTCACACAGGAAGGCTAACCCTTTGTTGCTTCTTTTCTGCAGCCTAAAGAAAGGGAGGTGGTGATAGAGCACACCTCTTCAGGAAGTGACTGGTCCGACGTGGAAGAGGTCTCCACAGTCAGATTCTCTCAGGAGGAGCCCATCTCACTGAAACTCTCAGCAGTTCCAGAGCCTTCTGCCTTCCCCACTGACTATGTCATGTACCCGGCTCACTTGTACAGTAGTCCTTGGTGTGATTTTGCCAGCTATTGGGCCAACAGTCGCAAGCCTTCTAGCTACCCCTCCATGAGCAGCAGCAGCAGTGACACATTGCAGGCTGGGAAGAGCAGCCGGGGCCTCCTGAGTGATTATTCCCCCAACTCTACAGTGAGCTCCCAAAACACCTCTAGAGATTTGGAGGCGACAGAGGAAGGTAGATCCCAGAATTCTCGCTCATATAATTTCTCCAGAAGCTTTCAAGACAAGGTGAAGGAGAAAAGAACATTCCAGGAGGAGACGCCACCCCGTTCTTATGCATCTAGCTCTCTGCCAAGGGGCCATCTAGAGCCAAACCTAGAGGAGGGTTTCATTGATACCCATTGTCACTTGGATATGCTCTATTCCAAGTTGTCTTTCAAAGGGACCTTTAGCAAGTTCAGGAAAATTTATAGCACCTCCTTCCCTAAGGAATTTCAGGGCTGCATCTCTGACTTCTGTGATCCCAGGACACTGACAGATTCCCTATGGGAGGATTTGTTGAAAGAGGATCTGGTTTGGGGGGCCTTTGGCTGTCACCCTCATTTTGCTCGTTACTACACTGAGAGTCAAGAAAGAAATCTTTTGCAAGCCTTAAGGCATCCCAAGGCCGTGGCATTTGGGGAAATGGGCTTGGATTACTCTTACAAATGCACCACACCTGTCCCAGAACAGCACAAGGTAATGGGGTTCTCTTTAGTTTGCTTATAATTTTGTGTGTGTGTTTTTTTTAAGTTCTTAGTTTATTAATCCTCTCATGAAAAATCTATACAGATAAAGCCACTGAAGAATCTTTGCTCATTTTTGCCAGCACCAACATTGGCCTTTGCAGTTCCCCTGACTTTCTTCCATTCTGTTCTTGAAGTCTCATATGGGCTTTTCTTGCTAATCTATGTTTGGGTTCTTTTTTATTTTTTGCATAATACAAGGAATCATAAATCATGCCAAAGCCACTTGTCTTGCCACTGCCAAAGTGTTTTTTGTTTTTTTTAAATAAATGGATTGATATCTTTGGAGTTATTAACTTCTTTGGGATTTTTAAAAAAATATATTTTTAAAAAAATATATTTTATTGATTTTTTACAGAGAGGAAGGGATAGAGAGAAACATCGATGAGAGAGAAACACCAATCAGCTGCCTCCTGCACACCCCCCACTGGGGATGTGCCCACAACCAAGGTACATGCCCTTGACTGGAATTGAGCCTGGGACCTTTCAGTCTGCAAGCCGACGCTCTATCTACTGAGCCAAACCAGTTACGGCTGCCAAAGTGGGTTTTGAATCCAAATACAAAGATGATATTTGGTGTGATCTTAGACATTTTGGCTAGTTTTTCCCAAATTTCTGTCTTAAGTACTGCTGCCTTCCTTGGGTGAAGAATGTCAGTGACCATTGGTTTACACTAAAGTAGTCTATTGGTCATGAACTTCCAGGTCAGATAGTTACCATGTTATGATGGCAGCCAGCTTGCTTACAATTTTAATTAATTAATTTAAACCCTTACCCCAGGATATGTTCTATATATTTTTTTAGAGAGGAAGGGGGAGAGGGAGCAGAGAGAGAGAGAGAGAGAGAGAGAGAAACATCAGTGTGAGAGAAAAACAGTGATCGATTGACTCCCATACTCGCCCTCACTGGGGATCAAACCCACAACCTAAGTATGTGCCCTGATGATGCCCAACCAACTGAGCCACTTGGCCAGGGCCACTTGTTTACAGTGTTAATTCTTCTTTTAGTTGTTGAAATCTAACCATAGGGTTTTTCTACTTGGGGGTGGGGGTGTCTTTTTAGAACTAAAGAATTTAGAATTTCTAAAAATGCAATTGCTCTTATCCAGACCATCTATATGTCATTTCTCAAATTATTCACAAGCTATTTCTTTCAGGTTTACTATATATGGGGATGGGGGAAATTGATAGGTACTTTGTGACTTATGGCTAATGATATGTATCAAAACATTTATTTTCTTTCTTGGGAAGCAACAAATTTCGTTTAATTTATTTTTATTCTAATTTTGAAGTTAAGTATGCCCAATTGTAGAATATTTGGAAAATACAAAAATGTATAAAGGTGATAATTTCCCATTCTACTAGAGATAACAACTATTACCATTTTAATATTTTTTACTCCCAATATCTTTTTAGCATGGAGATTTGGCAGGGTATGAGTAGTTTCTGATTTAGGCAGGAGCAGGAAAAGGAGAAAGACCCTCACGCTATGCATGTTGCCAGGTTGAATTTGTTGTGTGCTGCCTTTCTGTTGATGCCTGTTAAGTCTGGGTCTGCATGCCCAATATGCTCAGGCCTTGGTGAGCGTGTATGGATTCCAACCTGGGCAAATTTGGTACCAGCTTTCTCTTTGGTGCTGTCCCCAATCTAACTGGGGGCATCCTCAGCAGCGCACTGATGCTGTGCACCATTGATACTTGCATCTGAATTAAAAGAAGGAATTTTCAGAGTCAGTGGTTTCTTAATTTTCTTTTGATCAAAGAAAAAATTCAAGGAAGGTATGGTGCCCTTCTGCTCTAGCAGAAGACTAGACCTTTGTACACTTTTAGGAGCTAGAGATTTCAGTTTGAATATAGTTGTCTATGACAGCCAGTAAGCATGCCAGACTTAACAGTTAATTTCCGTAAGAAACAACTTAAAATGTTTCCAAATCCAAAAAGGATTTTCTTTTAGACGAATTTGCTAGGACCTGTTAAGTTTATTAAATTCTGAGCAGCATGATTTTGACTTGGTCTGCATTCAGACAGGTGGGTGAGATATTATGTGTGTGAATGTTTTCAGTTTTCCACTTGAATAGATTTCTAGTATAGTGATTAGGTTTCAATTCAGAATTTGGTTTGTCTTGTACATTCAAATAATCTCTTGCCAGAGTTCCTTTTTGTTACTAACACTAGAACGTTTACAATTTCTGTCTTGAGGCAGTGATTTATTAGCCAAAAATGAATGGAACAATAGCTAAACCTGAAAACAGGAAGAAATAGGTTTTTAAGAAAGTGAGACAAGTATTTAATATTCTGCTTTCCCATCTAGTTTCTATGGCACAGGGCAGTTGTGGTATGGAAAGAGGATCACAGTTCAGAAATGTGTACACTAAGGTGACTGGAAAGAGGAGGAGAAGCATTTTATTTAACTAGAGGCCCAGTGCATGAAGTTCGTGCACTTAAGGGGTCCCGCAGTCCGGGAGCCCTCAGGGAGCCCTCAGGGAATACCCGCGGGGAGTGGGCCTAAGGCGTCTGTCAGACATCCTTAGTGCTACCTTGGAGGTGGGAGAGGCTCCTGCCACCACTGCTGCGCTCACCAGCTGTGAGCTTGGCTTCTGGCTGAATGGCACTCCCCCTGTGGGAGCTCACTGACCACCAGGGGGCAGCTCCTTGTTGAGTGTCTGCCGCCTGGTGGTCATTGCGCGTCATAGCTACTGGTCATTCTGTGGTTCGGTCGATTTGCATATTAGCCTTTTATTATATAGGATTGTATAGCTGATGTTTATTGAATGCCTACTGTGTGCCAGGAAATGTGCTAAGTATTTCACAGTAACTTTTCCCTTTATTAAATCATTGTCGTATCAGATCTGCATATAGAGCTATCCAGGGCATGCTGACTGAACTTGAAGTTACAGCATAGGGTGATAAGTAGAATCTCGCAAGTATCATTTGGCTTGGTGAAATTGGATTCAGGATTGGAAAATGGCAATTCAAGGAAATAAATTGTTGGCAGGGGGAGGGCTGAACTGTGTGTAGAAGAAGAGAGGATGATAAGGTATTTCTGTAGAGCACTGCAGGAAGAGGATGCCATGTTCTTGATGTAAATCTAAACTTGGGCACCAAAATTAGAAGTGTATTAGTTGGATGTTGGCATTGAGTTGCATTTGCCTACAAGCAGAGTAGCTGGCAAGTTCTTGATGTATCCTGCTGAATATTTTATCTGTGAAGGGAAGAAGAAAAGCCTATGGGAGGACTGTATCTAGCCAAGTGAGAGGGAGCTAGCTAGGTCTGGTTCCTTTACCTAATATTTTCCAGAAAGATTGGAAAGTACAGAAAAGCAAAAGAATTGGGGGAGGGGGGACGACACACTAATGATTCTGCTATCCAGAGCAAACCATAGTTAACTTTTCCTTGCTTACCTGTGTTCATAAATTTAACTGTTTACTGTCCTGTTTAATTCCAAAGAATTAGGTCCTGGATAGTTTGTGGGTTGCACATATCAGCCAGTATGTTTATCAGAATCTCTTGGTTTCTGGAGTTGGAAGGCCAGGGTGAATAGATTGTGTCTCCCCTCTTGGGCTGGGCGGGCTGAACCAGATTGCTTCTGTCTGTATTTGTGTTTGACTGGAATGAAATATTGAGGTAATGATTATGTAAGAGCTGCTGGGAGGGCCACTCCCAAGAGAGACTGATTAACTCTGGAATCCCTGGAAATAATGGATCTGAGCTTATGCAGGCAGAAGAGAGTAATTATGCTGGGTAAATAATTTATCTGCACTTCATTCACTCCTGGTTTTTTATTCAGCCAGGTTTCTGCCGAGGACAAATGCTCTAGATTTGTCCAGTCCAGCCACAAGCTCCTGCCTACTAACAATTCTTCTATCTTAACTAGCATTTATGAAATTCAGATGTTTTACAAAACGTTATTTATTTATTTTTAATCCTCACCTGAGGGTATGATTTTATTGATTTATTTTATTTTATTTATTTTTTATTTTTATTTTTTTAAAATATATTTTATTGAGTTTTTACAGAGAGGAAAGGAGAGAGATAGAGAGTTAGAAACATCGATGAGAGAGAAACATCGACCAGCCGCCTCCTGCACACTTCCCACTGGGGATGTGTCCGCAACCAAGGTACATGCCCTTGACCGGAATTGAACCTGGGACCTTTCAGTCCGCAGGCCGACGCTCTATCCACTGAGCCAAACCGGTTTCAGCAATTTTATTTTATTTTATTTATTTTTTTTGAGAGCGAGAGGGAGAGAGAGAAAGAAACATCCATTGATCAGTTGCCTCCCATATGTGCCCAGACCAGTGATCAAACCCAAAACCTGGGTATGTGCTCTGACCAGGAATCTAACAGTGACCCTTTAGTGTATGGGACGATCCTCCAAACAGTTGAGCTACCTGGCCAGGGCCAGATATTATATTTTTAATGTCATTGTCCCTTGGAGAATTGCAAGGGAAAATTGGTGGCATGTTTTATTTTTTAATTTAATTTATTTGTTTATTTATTTATTGTCTAAAGTTTTACATATGTCTCCTTTTTCCCCAATTGACCCCCTCCCCTACCCCTTCCCAGCCCGGCAAGCCCCCACTGCCCCAGTGTCTGTGTCCATCGGTTATGCTAATATGCATGCATATAAGTCCTTTCATTGCTCTCTAACCCCCCCCTGGTGGCATGTTTTATAAGCACTTGTCATAGAATCAAGGAAATATGTGTTGTATGTACATACTTTTAAAAAAAGAAATTAGGAAGTTAAAAAGAAATAATCATTTTGAAACTTAAAATATATATATTTTTTCCTTTTTTAAAATATATTTTTATTGATTTCAGAGAGGGAGAGAGATATAGAAACATGAGTGATACGAAAGAATCATTGATCAGCTGCCTCCTACATACACCACACTGGGGATTGAGCCCATAACCCGGGCATGTGCCCTGACTGGGAATGGAACCATAACCTCCTGGTTCATGTATTGACGTTCAACCAATGAACCAGGCTGCCCGGGCGAAAGTAATCGTTTTGAATGATTTTTCCACTTGTGAACATGTTCTCTTTCATTAAATATACTTTGAAAAATATGCTTTTTATCATTTGTGTCATAGTCCACCCAAAGAACCGTACTAGTTTTACTGCCCTAAAGAATTATATTTTGGAAGCAAGAATTCAACATTGGAATTATAATCTCTTGCAACCGCCTGCCTCTGTTGAGGCTCAAGGAGGGCTGATGTGTTCAGGAGGACATCCAGCCAGCTATAGATACTGGAACTAGCCCATCTTTAAAGCGCCTACCAAGCATTTTGTGATTTTGGTTCTTTCGGTCATTTTCCTTTGGTTGAACACACAGGTTAAACAAGAGTTACATTAGAATTGGTACTGGCTCAATGCTTCTGTTATAAGAAGAGGTAGCACAAATGTTAGACTCGAAAATGTCATTCTCAAGTGAGTATCAACTGACTCAAATTACCAAAAGCATCGTACCATTTGATATAAAAAATACAAAATGAATTATATTCCACAATTGAAAAAAACTACTTATGAAAACATTAAGTTTAAGACGAGGTAATTTGTTTATAATGAATTAATACGTTTGTTCTAAACCTGGACTTGAGGAAAAATTAAGGCCTAGCCCTACTTTTTCATTGAAATCATTAACAGTATGTGTATTTTATTAATAAAGGTTTAAAAATAGCTAGAGTTTAATAAGAATATATCATATCTGTAGGTATTCACCTAGAAGAATATCTGATTTTGGTTGAGTAAAGAAAATATGTATAGTATTTATCTGAAAGCCAGGCATTGATATTGAGTATGTATAGGAAAAGGTGTAGAAGGTAATTACCTCTTGGGAGTAGAGCTGGGAAGAATGAGGGGAAGGACATTTAGCTTGTGCTTTCTGTACCTGAGCCCCATTCTGCCCCTGCAACCCCAAATAAGCCTTGCATAGTGGTTGCTATGTGGACTGCCTGGGTTCAGATTTGGTGGCACTACAGCTTCTCAGCTGCAAGTTACTTGACTTCACTTGGAGCCTCAGTTTCTTCAACTGCAGGATGGGCTAAGAGCAATACTTAGGGTGCTTGTGAGCGATATAGGCCATAATGTACCTTAAGTGCTTTGAGTACTACCTGGCTCTTTAGTAAGACCCATTAAGTCTTATCTGTTACTGAACATTATAGTTTAAAAACACAGAGTTTGAGACAGTGGAGCTGCCCATTGGACTAGGTGTTCTGAAGGTAACAGACTTCTGAAGTGGCCCTAACCTGCACGTATTGTCACTTTGTCTTCTCCCAGGTATTTGAGAGACAGCTGCGGCTGGCCGTGTCTCTAAAGAAGCCCTTGGTGATTCACTGCCGAGAAGCTGATGAAGATCTGCTGAGCATCATGAAAAAATTTGTGCCCTCAGACTACAAGATCCATAGGTTAGGCGGGAGCTTCAGTGGGCAAATGAAACGAATGCTTCCTCTGTCTAGGCCAGTGGTCGGCAAACTGCGGCTCGCGAGCCACATGCGGCTCTTTGGCCCCCTGAGTGTGGCTCTTCCACAAAATACCATATGTGGACGTGCATGTGCAGTGTGATTGAAACTTCGTGGCCCATGCGCAGAAGTTGGTATTTTGTGGAAGAGCCACACTCAAGGGGCCAAAGAGCCGCAGTTTGCCGACCACTGGTCTAGGCTGTTAGTTGGAAAAACGAAAACTCAGTAGGAGAGCATAGATACTATTATGTTTTTATGTCGTATCTTTACTAAAGATTAAATATTAGGTTGAACCATATGAAATTTCTGTTATTTAACCATTTTTTACTTACAAAACTGCAACTTCATATGGTTTGAGCTAATACCCTAAATCATCAGTGAGCAAGAAAGGGGCTTTTGTGACCTCTGTCCCGGTGGCAGGTGAGAATGGAGTCTCAGTTTTCAGAAATGGGGGCTGTTGATTTCGGGAAAGACTGCTGTGGAGTCCGGTGACTTAGCACACAGAAGATTCCAGGGCACCTGAAAAGAAAATTTCTTTCCTTTTTTGAATTTGAAAGCTCATTAAAGTGCAGGATGTGAATAGTATCTAGAGCAGCCATGGGCAAACTACGGCCCGCGGGCCGGATCTGGCCCATTTGAAATGAATAAAACTAAAAAAAAAAAAAAAAAAAAGACTGTACCCTTTTATGTAATGATGTTTACTTTGAATTTATATTAGTTCACACAAACACTCCATCCATGCTTTTGTTCCGGCCCTCCGGTCCAGTTTAAGGACCCATTGTGGCCCTCGAGTCAAAAAGTTTGCCCACCCCTGATCTAGAGGTTCTTAAGTTCACTTTGACATACTCCCTGATCTCTTACTGTGTACCTGTCCTGGCTGTTGGTTTAGCTGTGGGAGACAGGTGAGTCAGCTGGTTACTTCTCTACTGTAGAGAGTGTGGGTCTGAGGTGGGCATACGGTACTGTGAGAACCAGATCAGGGGCCGTTAGCTAAGCCTGGCTCTAAAGGGATCAGGAGGCAATGCCTGGGCTGGTTCTATCAAGATGGGTGAGATGAGTTAACTGAAAAAAGCAGGGAGTCTAGAATCCAAACCAGGTCTTGACAGATGGTAGAAATGGGTGGGCCCGTCTGGCCTCTAAGCTGCTGCCTTTTGAGGGTCCAAGCAGGGAGTGAAGTCTCTGACCTCTGACTGGTGGCACACATCAGAGACGAGGCATAGTCACTCAGCCCTTCTGGTTGGTTTGTTGGTTTTTCATTGCTTCATTTTGGGCTGACTGTAAAGGAATTCTAATGACTGGTCGTAGGTTGAAGGAGGCTAGGATGGTCCAACAAGATGTTGTGGCTGGAGGAAGGCCTGAATTTCCAGATTGATTTTACACACACACACACACACACACACACACACACACACACATTATACTAGAGGCCTGGTGCACGAAATTCGTGCGCGGGGGGGCGGGGGGGGGTCCCTTAGCCTGGCCTGCGCCCTTTTAGTCCGGGAACCTTTGGGGGATGTCCCTGTGGGGAGTGGGCCTTAGCTGTCAGTCAGACATCCTTAGTGCTGCCGCAGAGGCGGGAGAGGCTCCCACCACTGTCACTCTGCTCGCCAGCCGTGAGCCCGGCTTCTGGCTGAGTGGGGAGCGCACTGACCACCAGGGGGCAGCTCCTGTGTTGAGCGTCTGCCCCCTTGTGGTCAGTGCGCATCATAGCACCAGTCGTTCTGCTGTTTGGTCGATTTGCATATTAGCCTTTTATTATCTAGGACTGGAGGCCTGGTGCACAAAAATTTGTGCACTCGGGGCGGGGGGAGGGGGGGCCCCTCAGCCCGGCCTGTGTCCTCTCGCAGTCTGGGACCCCTCAGGGGATGACCACCTGCTGGCTTAGGCCCGCTCCCCGAAGGATTGGGCCTAAGATGGCAATCAGACATCCCTCTGGCAGCCCGGCAGCCCTTGGGGGATGTCCACTTGCCAGCGGGGAGCAGGCCTAAACTGCAGTTGGACATCCTTAGCGCTGCTGAGTAGGCAGGAGAGGCTCTCACCACCACCGCTGTACTGTCAGCCATCAGCCTGGCTTGTGGCTGAGCAGAGCTCCTCTCATGTGAGAGCACCCTGACCACCAGAGAGCAGCTCCTGCATTGAGCATCTGCCCCCTGGTGGTCAATGTGTGTCATAGTGACCAGTCATTCCCAGTCCTTCTGCTGTTAGGGTCAGTTTGCATATTACCCTGTTACTTTATAGGATAGAGGCCTGGTGCACAGGTGGGGGCCGGCTGGTTTGCCCTGAAGGGTGTCCTGGATCAGGGTGGGGGTCCCGCTTGGGTGCCTGACCAGTCTGGGTGAGGGGCTGAGGGCCGTTTTCAGGCTGCAGGTGACTGAAGCTCCCAACCTCTCCTTTTTTTCTTTTTTATTCTGGGATTTATTTACCTTCTATGGCTGTCACTGGAGCTGAGAGCCAGCTTTAGCTCTGAGGCCCGGCTGGCTGAAAGCAGGTTTCTGGGGATTGTTTAGCTTCTATAATTGCAACATAGTTGCTTAGAGTGCAGCTCAGAGCTGGGCAGCTGCAGGCGGGGAACCTTGGCTTCCTCCATCACTGGAGCAAGCAAGCCTCCTGTTCGCTTCAGCTGCCTGGCTGCCGGCCACCATCTTGGTTGGCAGTTAATTTGCATAACACCCTGATTAGCCAATGGGAAGCATGTCAGAGGTATGGTTAATTACCATGTTTGTCTATTTGATAGGATAGGATTACATTATATTTTAATTATTATTATATTATGAACATGGAACATGAACAGCCTTCAAATTAAGAGAAGAAAATTCATTCATAGTCTCCTTGATATATTTTTTTTGTTTCCTTTGAGTTCTTTTGACTGCATGGACATAATTTTTACCTACTGTAGTTGTAATATTAAAGGGGCCACAGTTTTAAATTCTGCTTCTCTTTTTGTGTCATAAGCATACCCTGTCCCTGTATTGTTGCTGTATGTTCCTGGTAATTATTTCAAGTGGCTTTATAGTATTCTGCGATGTAATGGGTTGATGGATGAGCATTGCTCACCAGGAATCATCTTGGGTCTTACTGTATTGAAACCAGCTCTTGTCTGTGTTTACTGTGGAGTCCTTCCTTTAGATGCAAGCTTTACATTTCTGGATATTTATCCACAGAAAATAATTTAAAAGGGGTTATATGTCTAGAGGGAGTTGGAGCTGCTGTCCAGGGGATTGTGAGAGAACGCTGATCTGGACTTCTCCTCTCAGGCATTGCTTCACTGGCAGCTACCCGGTCATTGAGCCCCTGCTGAAGCACTTCCCAAACATGTCTGTGGGCTTCACGGCAGTCCTGACGTACTCCTCTGCCTGGGAGGCCCGGGAAGCTCTGAAACAGATCCCGCTGGAGAGAATCATCGTGGAAACTGATGCCCCCTACTTCCTGCCTCGACAGGTAGGGGTGTCTCCAGGCTGAGTTGAGGCACTGAGGAGAGGGTGGGGAGGTGGGCGGTCACCATTACAAGGTTGGCAGGGCCAGAGCCCCAGTGATATCCAGGTCCCACCCTTGGCTATATAGATGTCTCCTTGTATTGCTCTGCAGAACCAAAAGTCTAGGGGGCTGAGAAGCTGAAGGGTAACCACTCTCTTCCAGGCAGTGCAAAGCCCTACCCTGTAGAGGGTAGTCCAAGGAAGCGTGGGACCCTGCTCACCCAGAGCCCCCCATGACTAGGACTCTCCCTGCACCTGCAGGTAAAGGGGTCTCTACAGGGCAGCCCCAAAGAGGTCCTTACTGGGGAAGGGCCGGGGAGGGATCTCTGTGTAATGACTGTGCGCAGACGGCACAGCGATGTTCTGAATGTTTGATATCTTCCAGGTTCCCAAAAGCCTTTGCCAGTATGCCCACCCGGGCCTGGCCTTGCATACAGTTCGAGAGATTGCCAGGGTCAAAGATCAACCGCTGTCCCGCACCTTGGCTACCTTGCGTGAGAACACCAGTCGCCTCTACAATCTATAAGCAGAGAGAGTGCAGGAGTTTTCTATAAAAGGTCATAAAATTTACATTTATGTTTTTAAAAATCGGGACAGAACCTTTTTTGCTGCATTTTATTAATGTAGAGAGTAGCCTGATTTGTCTTGAGTGAACTTGGTTTGAAACCTTCTTCTTTTTCTCTTCCCTACCCTCCAGGACGACCAGTGACCTAACAGCATAGGCTGGGTTTCATCTCTGCCTGGGTCCAGGACAAGGGTGTGTTTAGAGAGCCCATTGGAATGGAGAAAACCAAGATAGGAAACAGGATTTTTCTTGAAACTTCATCATCAGGCTTTTGATCTTGGCTATGGGTTATGGGGTGCAGTGGAGCGGGGTGGGGAGCAGGAAGGGAGGTTGCCTCCTGGCCACATGCTCCAGGGCAGTCAGGGAGGAAGAAAGACTAGTAGAAGGGTGCAACAAGTTTGCCAATCCAAATCTCTTTTCTCTGCAGCCTGTGTTTTTGAGCAGTCTGTGAATAAAGTCACCCTCCTACTAGTCTAAGCCCATGTTGGTGTGTAACTTGGTTCCTGGTCCTCAGTTCTGAGAATGAGCTCCCAGTGAGAAATCTATGGGGGATCTTCGCTGGAGACCGGTGAAGTCACCCCCCTGCAACCAAAGGAGTCATCCCCTTCTCTTCCCTGGATAACTCTTCAGTGTGGCTGTCGCTGTGTCAACTCTGCATCGGCACAGGTGGAAGGACTCGACTACTGGTTTCATTGGTTCCATTGCCATCAATATAGAGGGGGCAGAAAGGCACGCATTGTCCAGGGAAAATTCTGGCTGATGGAGATCTGGACAGATGGGGGAACTCAAGGAAGAGGCCTTCTTGAGGAAGAGGACCCCAAAGAAGGTGTTTCTACTTACTGATCCCCCAGGGCTGCAGCTCAGCTGTGTTAAACTGATCAAGGTCCAGCCTGTAGCAGAAGCTACTTGCTAGTCTGCTGGTGAGGTCCCAGCCGCCCTTCGTTCCATTTTGCTCTCTTTCCCTGGAACACTGGACCAGAAATACTCATACTTTTTCATTGCATATGACAGCCTCTTGTGTGTCCCTCCCAGGTTAAGAGGTAAATCAGTTTACTTCTTGAGAGCTCTGCTGGGGTCACTCGGCCATGTTCTGTTGCCTTTGCCCAACAAGCAGGCCTGATGTCTGTAAATCTCTCATTCCCCCTCTGGGTGGTCTCCCTTGCCTTTGCCTCCTCTGTGTCCTTTCTCTGTGTTGTAAATGAGAGCCTCTCCTTTGACTTTTGAGCATCTGGGGTCATCTCAGATTTTAAGCTGTGTTCTGTTTCCTGCTGGTGCCTTGTAAAGGTATATTCATTACAGGCCCTGGAAGGTTATAATGGTCACGGGGTAAATGTAAGGACACTGCACGTTGTCCAAAAGGATCCTTTACCCCAATCTGCAGTGAGACAGGCCACCAAATTCCTTGTGTGTTTCTTGGAACCTGGTGGCTTATATCATAAAATCCATCACTTAATGCTGGATCTCTCTAGGTGATTTTGGAAGGTGCATTTGAGCCTGGTAAGTTAAAAGGAAATGGGCTTAACGTTTTTTCTAGACGGTATTTCTGTTTTGCCCCTGTGCACAGTTGCTGGCCTGAGAAGTGGGCCTTGATTCCCTGTTGACCTTCCATGGATTAGTTGTGCGTTGTTTGTGCCTCATGTTTGCCAGTGTGGGGAACTGGGGGCTCGTTCTCCTGTTTGGAAGATTTGGGGAACTGCTAAATATTTCAGAGTGCTTCATTGTCATCCAAATGAACTGCAGCATATATATCTCTTTCATAAACCCTGTATGTCAGTACTGCCTACATGGGAAACCAGTTAGTCCTGCATTAAAGGGTTAAAGGGATGACTAAATGGATATCTCAGAGCCTATGCAGTCTTCCTGCCAAGGTAACGCACAAGGTGCTATACACTTTTATCTCTAGGATTTAGGATTACTTCTGTGCTGTGGCGTGAAAGCTGGTTGGCAATGTTTTTGATGTTGGGTGGCTGACTTGATTGTTTTTGCTGTGCTGCTGGAATGCCTCTGTATTACCCCTACCCATCAGTTTCTGAAAATAAAGGGATAGATTCCCAGCCAACTCCCATGCTCTCCACGTTTGTTTAGAGTTCTCAGAATGAGAACAGTGGTTCATTTGGTGGCCGACTTCGAAACCTGCGATCCCAGAGGTCTGACATTCTCGAATATTCATGTGCCTCTGCAAAATTGCATGAGATAAGTAAGACATGGTATCTTCTCAAAAGTTCTGCCTTTGAGCGTTAACTTTTATCTTAAACTTTGGTAACTCAGATATACTGCTGCTTCCTAGCCTTTGAAAACTATATAGATACCTTCTTTTCTTTTTCCAGAGCAGTGCAGTAAGAGGAAGAAATATCGAGTACACAGGTGTGGTACTGATGAATCAGTTGTACTGTTTTTGGACTGTGATCTGATGCCTCTGGGTAGACTGGAGGACATTCTATTTCACTACTTGCACATGTATTTAACTCAATCCTCTAATTTTTATGGAGGTATTGTTGAACACAAACACACAAGCCAAAAGTAAACCTGGAAAAAGGAAGGCTCTGCTGCGAGAATGTTAAACAAATTTGAAATCTCTGTTAATGCATCATCTTTGAGACACAGTCATTGACTGCGTTTTCAGCATATTCCTTCACTTTGGTTCAGTTTCCTTTCCAGTTAAACACACAGTTGACTGTGTCTACTCAGTGATAGTCGGTTTGTGGCTGAAAATCTGTTGCTCTTGGTGTTGCTGGTGTTTACATCTTTCTTTCTGTTTTGAGTTGGGACTAATACTAATCATTTGCTGTCAGGACCTTCATTTTTATGCCACTCATTTTATAAAGTGAGGGCAAATGGCCACTGAAACATTCAGTGATTAAACAAACTCAAACAAAGATGGCAGCAGAACTGCTGATCAGTGGCTAGCCAGCCCTGTCCCTGTCAGTGCTCATTTGGAGTGGATTCAGATTAAGGGAGGTAGCTAAGCATGGGTCCCCATTCTTCTGTTTACATGTTGCCATAGGGAATTTCTGAGCACACACCTGTAAGTGTATGATGAGTTAAATACATGTGCTAGTATACTGATATACTAGGTATATCCTAAAACACAAAATAAGCTTTTTATAAGGAGAATTTTTTTCCTTCAACAAATTTCTTTTAGTATATGTGCTGCCGAAGCGAGCACTCCTTCAACAAATTTCTTGTTCACCCCAAGGGTAAATACACCCCATTCAGAGAACCTTAAGTTAGTGGTATCATTAAATAATGTTAGAGGAATAGGTTTAAGAAGGGTGACATAGGACCTTGTTTGAAATGCTACATTTTTTCAAGTGTGTCCCTTGTTTCCTTTGATGTTTTATTTCTGCCAGTTGTTGACTTGAAGTTGACCCAATGTATTATGAAGGAAAATAAAAAAAAACAAGCCCTAAAAGGTTGTTGGTTCAGTTCCCAGTCAGGACACATGCCTGGGTTGGGCGGGGGGGGGGGGGGGGGGGGGTGGAATGCAGGAGGGGCAGCGTATCGATGTTTCACTCTCACATCAATGTTTCTCTCCCTCTCCCTTCTTTTTCTAAAAGTCAATAAACTTTTTTAAAAAATTTTACTTTAAAAAACAAAAGAAATCCCTTTGGACCCTAGGCAGCAGGGCAAGAAAATACCATTGAGAGGCAGTAGACTTTGAAACGCATGGACTCAACCACTACAGCTCTGGATATGAGTGGGCAATGTATTTGCTGTGTGACCTTGGAAAGTTAATTTCTCCAAACTTCAGTTTCCTCCCTCCGAAGTAGCTTGTGAAAATTAGCTGAAATTGCATTAACTACTTACAAGTATTTAGAACAACGCCTGGTGCACTGCAGGGATGAAGTAAGTGATGATGGTTAGAATAGTTGAATGCCTACTATGTGCCAGGTGTCCTTGAGGGAGATACTGTGTTCAGTCTCTATAGTAACCTAGGGAGGTGGGTATTTTAATTTGAGGAACCTGAGAAACAATATTTTGGTCTGGATCAGAACTGGTATTCAAATTCAGGTCTGAGGCATAGCTCTCAACCACATCATGGGCCTGCCCCAGGTGAGATTGCCCAGTCCAGAGTGGGCTTAAAAAAATGTTAAATTTTTTTTTTTTTTTTTTTTTTTTTTTTAATGAATGATGCAGGCAAGTGGCAGAGAATGCTTGTGAGTCCTTTGAGAGAAAAGTAAGTCTTTGTTCTTTTTTTTTGATGGGATGGAGCTGACCAGCATTCCCACCAGGGCCTGGCACACATCCCCCTCCTAAGCACCGCCCCCAGCCCAATCCATGGCTGCTGCTTCCCCAGGTCAGCAGCTGGTTTCCTGGGCCATTTTGATCACACTTGGACCTTCCATCCTCTCTAGCTGTTAAGAAGAGGGCTGTGGGTGTGGTTAGAGTGACCAGGGTTGTGCCCCCACTAAACAGTGGAACTGGGATATGGCTAAGATTCAGGGCAGCATGTCCGTCTAGACCTCAGTACTAGGGAGCTGCTATCTGGGGGCTGTAGAAGGTCATTTCCCTCCATTTCTATTTCTTCCACTCCCCCCACTTAGTTCATCTGTTCTCCAATACCTTAAGTTCCTTTAATGGTGATAACGTGTTCAGTCTGTGGCTTAGATGAAGATGCTTTTGAAAGTAAAGACTCAGTGAATGAAGTCACTGTGTAGTCATATAATCAGGTGTCTGGTCATCTGAGAGATGGGAGTATGTATGTATGTGTGTGCATGGTCTGCCATCTGCCCAACAGAGTCTACAACAGAGCTGGGACTAAATCGATGGGGAAGAAGGTAAGAGAGAAGAAACAGGACACCTTTTTCATGTGTTCACAGTTCTGTTGAGGGTCCCACCTAGTCAGGTCTCAATTTTTTTTTTTAAGTTTTATAACAATCGACACCTATTGTATGCCAGGTGGGGCAATCTGGCTGCAGAGTGCTGTGCTGTCTGAATAGAGTCCAATCCCTCTAAGCCACTTTATAGAAGCCATTTAATAACCTGGGATCTTGTTAAAGTGCAGATCCTGATATAGTAGGGCAGGGATGGGGCCCAAGATGGCATTTCTAAGGAATTCCCAGATGATCCACAGATTACATGGAGTTCCTGGATGATCAATGGCAGTTTGGTTTCAGTGTGCCTACTAAGTCTACCTATAGGGCTGTGCCTTGAGTGCCAGGTGGCCAAAATTTTACTCAAGAAGATACTTGGCTTCTAGAGCTCTCTGTGGTAGTTTTTTCCAGTGTGGGTGTTACCCCAACTCTGAAGAGGGGTGCCCTACATATTTCTAGGGGATCATGTGTCTGACTGGCAGTGCATCTCTTTGGAATCTCCCTCCTTGATTGCTTTTCTCTCCTATTGATTCACCCATCATCACCAGCTCTCAGAAACCAGTTTGCATGTTTATGCTACTAAAGTGTAAATGACCAATAGGTGACATTTCCTCCTAGGAAGGCTGGTGTCTTCCCTGGAATTAAATTGGGGAACTTAAGGAACAAGGTTCGATTCAGCTGTGAGCTGGAGTTGGAAATGTTGTGGGACAACTACCAGGTATCAGTGAAGTAATGAAGGCAGTGGTCTGCCTTGCCTATATGAGTTGGTATCTACTTTGCTGGACTTCTCAATAGTGAACAAAGAGGAAGCCCTTGCCAGCAGTGGCTAGAAGCCATTGTTAGCACCCACTTAATAACTTTAGACTCATGCTCTGGCATTCCCAGAATCCTGTTCTCATCTTGAATGTGTTAGTAGATTTTAGCTCTGATAATGTCACCCGTACTTTCTTTGTCCATACAGTCCTATATATATATTTATTGATTTCAGAGAGTAAGGGAGAGGGAGAGATAGAAACATCAATGATGAGAGAGTATCATTGATCTGTCTCCTGCACGCCCCTTACTGGGGAGGGAGCCCGCAACTGGGGCATGTGCCCTTAACAGGAATCAGACCCGGGACTCTTCAGTCCACAGGCCACTGCTCTATCCACTGAGCCAAACCAGCTAGGGCCACACAGTCCTTGATAATAAGCTCTCATTGCAACATTGCACTTTGATATTTAAAGGAACTGTGTCTTTCTTTCTCCCCTCCCCATCCTCTTCTCCCCTTCTCTTCCCTTTCCCCTCTTACTTATTCTTTGTCTCTCTCTCTCCTCCACTCCTCTTCTGGCACACATACCCAGTAGTCTGTCTGCTTGTATGAGGTGGTCTAGTGTGGTTTTCTGAGCGTGCACACCTGCCTTGCTACATATCCTTCTTTTCTCTTTCTATTGACCATAGAACAAGACTTATTTTTCCAGTGACATTTTCCTCTTTGGTGAAATAATTCTCATTATGAACATTTAGCACACATTTTGAATATTTATTCAGCTCCTAAGCTAGTACCACTCAGAGCTGGGAGTTGTAGAAGCAATCTAAAAGCCACGGTGAGCACTTCTAAGGGTAGTAGGAAAACAAAGAGGCGGGCCCGTCCTGTGGATGGTCACTTGTCTGCTGGGACCTCTGAAAAGCAAGGGTGTAGATGTCAAAATTCTGAGTCTGCTATCTGGCCAGTGCCATCAAAGATGGTTTTCTTACACAGTGGTGACTGGTGAGGTGGTGTCTTGTAATGGGGGGAGCCTTGGACTGTGACTTGGGCAAGTCACTAAAGGCTCGGAGTCTTGGTCTCCTTATCTGCATGGAAGGGTGAGTGCGATTCTCTGTCTGCCTCGAGTGGTGGATGGGTTAGGTGATGCCATGTTGGTGACAGAAGTACTTTGCAGGTTGCAAGGTGCTTCCAATGGCCTCCTTGATCAGGGGAAAGTTGAGTGGTTTCTTTACAAGGTAAGAGGGGATTCAAATAAAAACAAAAAACTGCTTAACTGGCTGCGGAGCCCATTCTTCTGAATGCAATTGTAGCACTAATTCCTGTTGTTTGTGAAGTAAAATTATACAGTAAAGGTGTTGTAACATCAAATAATTTTATACTCTATTAGGGGTGTTAGCTCCATTTTATGGTTATGGAAATTGGGGTTCACTGGGGCTCCAAAGCTAGTTCTCAGAACTTAGTACCCTCTTTGAATACAAAAACTGGGCTCAACACCCTCCAAGCCACTCAAATACCAGCCCCGCCCACTCCTGCCGCTATCTGGGAACGAGGAATTAGAAGCTCTTTGAGAGGCAGGGGTCAGGGAAGAGAACTTTTCTTGTGTCACCCATAATGTGGGCTCACATTTGGGACTCTGAGAAAACTCTGAATTGACCTGACCCGGGCAGGGACTTACCATTGGCTTCTTCCCAAAACATGTCCTGAAGAAACTTCCCCAGGGCCTGGCCATGCCAGTGGGACTGAGCCCCTGACAGCTTGATTCCAACATCAAAGGGGGCGTTGAACTAGGAGGAGAGTAGGGAGGACCCAGGAAATGTCAGAGGTTACAGCCTCCCACACCCCTGCCCCAAACACTTCATCCCAAAGGGTCAGAGAGGGAAAGGGCCTGTGGGCCCAGCAGGTGCACTGAGGGATAGCTCAGTTCTCCTTTGTACGCCCATTCTTTTTGCCCCCTCCATCTTTAGGAGGCTAACCTTGACACTCTTCCTTTACTGCTAAGGTAAAAGCTGCGGTGTCCCCTAGCAAGCTCCCTCCCTGCCGTGCAGTTTTTGAAGACAATGTTGAATCGCAATGGTGGAATTTCAGGCCCTGGCAGGGAGGTTTGGGGGAAGTGGGCTTACCTGGTGTACATAGCACTAGCCTACGTGATGGTCTCTGCCCCCACCTCTCCTTTCCCAGGTGCTTTTCCTCATATGCACAGGCCTCTGTTCAGTGCAGGCAGGAAGCTAACCTTTTCCTAGAGCTAAGTTCCTTCTTTCTCAGCTTCTGTTTTTTTTCCTTCTGCAGAGAGAGTGCACCGTTTTCCCTACTTGGCAGTCTGTGAGGTGATTTCCTGTCACTAAAAGCTTTGGGGAAACAGGAAAGAGCTGTGTTTGCAGCCACATCATTGTTTTCTCCCTTGAGACCAGAGACTGTATCTTTATCAGGTGCTGCCTCAGCACCTGGCCATGTTGGTCACTGAGATGTCTGAACACCTCCATGGGTCAGTGGAGGACTCTTGATGCTGGAAAGAACCCCTGGTCATTGGTCCTTCTGCCCACTACCCTCCAGACAGGAGGTGTTACCCCCATTTTCAGATAAAGCAGCTGAGACCCAGAGAGGTTAAAGGACTTGTTTGAGGCCTCAGAGGAGTTGGTGGCCAAGGACTAGAATGCAGGATTCTTAAGTCCACCAGTCCCGGGACCCCTGCTAACCCCAGGGGTGTGGCAACGCCCAGGGTATCCAGCCCTCGGTCCTCCCCTCCAGGCAGGTGCCACTATGACTCCTATTTTACAGATGAGCGAACTGCTCAGAGAAGTTATTAAAGCAACAAATGGCTGTTTGTTCCTTTAAAACAATTTACCTTCCCCATTTGTCTTCACTGTGAAGGTGGAGAGTATGGGGAATGGCATGATTGGTTTTTTAGGGAACTTGGACCCTCCCGTTATCTCCCTTCAGTAAAGATTCAATGATACTTCCCCCCCGACCCCCCGTGGCTAATGTGGGGTGGTCAGATCACTGGAACAGACTTCTTAGGGACTTGCTGGCTGGAACTGGGTGGCAGGGGCAGTTGAGAGGCGGCGTGGCGACTGGTGGGTGGGAGATGAGCTTCAGGTGACCTGACAAGACTCCCTTGGCGTCTCATCTGTTCAGTGGGAGATGGGTGGGGTAGAGGAGTAGGAAGGACTTGGTTTGAAAATATTAAAGTTCTGAAACTAGATTTTAGGAGGAAAATGTTTGAAGGAAGTGGGGGGCCTGGGATGAAAGAGGTGGAGCCCTAGGATGGCAGGGGCTCCCAGAAGGTGTTGCTGGCCTCCTGCCCCACCTGTCTCCTACGGCTACACCACCTCCCAGACATTTCAGACTTCTGGTTCTAGCTGAGGCAGCCCGGGCCGTTTCTTCTGAGGCCAGCCTTTGTGGAAACTAGAAACTTCCAGCCCTGCCTTGAGTCAGCCGCCACTGAAATCTCTTCCCCATCTGGGCTAATTTAGAGTGACCCCAGCTGGGGGAGTACCTGCCAGCAGGAGCTGGCAACCTAAGAGAGTTCCCTGATTTTCATTTAAGGCCATCGAGTGCGGATGTGGTGGGCTGAGGATGTCCCAGGTGGTACGGAGGAAGTGCCTGAGAACACCTGGAAGGGTCAGAGAAAGCATGGGTTGGGGAGCTCATCCCTGACAGGAGAAGTGGCTGGTGGGTGGTTAGAGAAAGGCCAAGGCAGGACACACTTCAGCTTCTTTCAGGCCAGAGAGAGTGAGAGGCACTCCCTCTGTCAGACCGTAAGGAGGAAGAGAGGACTTGGGGACTGACTCAGCCCTGACCTTCAGTTTTACCGCTGCCGCCCTCTGGCTGTGGCATCACAGACAAGTACCTTGTCTGAACTTCTAATCAATGAGGGCAATGATACCAGCTCCCAGCAGCTCGGTAACTGCCATGGTTGAGTATTAAGTACCCTCCAGGGAATTCTGGTTTCTCTGCATGGAGGTGTCTGTCGCCACCGAAATCTTGTCAGAACCGTCCGATAACCACACACAGCCAGCCTTTCAGGAAAGTTACCTGGCTGACCCTATGAAAACCATGTCTCTCCCCCCGCCCCAGTCCCCCCTTCCTAGTCCTCCATTTATCTCTAAACTATTTCCTTATCTCAGGCAAGATTAGCCAGAGCCAGGGCAAGCCTGGCTGGTCTGTCTTCAGCGAGTGGGCCCTGCAGCCCCGCCAGCAGCAGCTTGCTGGCCAGGATGCGGTCTGGGCGCACTGCAGCCCAGGTGAGGTCTGAGAGGCCCTGGGCCAACCAGAACGTTTTCTGCGGGGAAACACCTTCAGTCTACGGCCAGCTGTGTCTTCCTGGGTATCTTTCTCTGGGTACCCCGTTTGCTGCACCCTTTGAAAACATCTGGCCCCTGCTAGTGTCCCCTTCTCTCTCCTCTGCTCATGGTTCCTGCACGTTCCCATTCTGTGGTAGCAGAGTTACTTAGATATTTGCCTCTTCATGGGCACAGACCTCATAGAGCACAGTGCAGTCAACTATTTTCATGCTGGTAAGTGGACCCCTGTTCATGCTATCGCCCCCAGCCTTCCCCTTCTCCCCCCCCTCACCACCACAAAAGCATAAAACTACAGAGGAACCAACCCGAATTTCCAGCTCATCCTCTGCCCCTTCCTCCCGATTTCCATCTTCTGGGAGGAGCCAGCCTTCAAGCTCTCGCTCTCGGGGCTGCAGTTTGGCTGGTGGCTTCTTGGACTCCTTTCTCTGCTGGAGAGAGAGAGTTTTCTTTAGTGCCCTAAGCCCCCATATCCTTCCAGAGCAGAGAGAGGCGGGGCCTATAAGTCAGACCCAGGGCCCTCCTTTGTGTTCTCTGAGAAGGCTGCCCAGAGAGGTTGAGCCACTGCCCACGTCACACAGCTGGCTGCTATGGCAGGGCTGGAATGAGATGCCCCGTCAGAATGTGGGGCTCTGTGGGCAGAATCTCACCTGAGCTTTCTGGTGTTCAGGGCTCAGGAAGCTGGAGCCTGCCATGGCCAAGTCCACCCAGAGCACACTGAGCAGCAGCAGGCTGCAGATGGTCCCCGGGGCAGGCATGGCCTCAGCTGGGTTGGGGCAGATGGGCCTAGAGAAGAGAGCCTCCAGTTAACACGCTGCCCCTCCTCTCCCTTCGCGTCCACTGCCCTCCCAGCGCCTCAAAATGCAGGTAGGAGCCTAGCAGACAGGGCTTTGACCTGGGATGGCAGCTCCCCCCACTGCCTAAGGCAGAATGAATTGAAGGATGTCTGTGTTCTCTTCCAAGACTGTTCAGGGCAGATGCCTTGGCAGTGGATTCCCCATGTGTTTGCCTCAGCCCCAAAGACCTCACCAAGCTTCTTAACAGGTGATGAAGCTGACCCAGCAAGATCCCCAGTAGACCGAAGCCCAGTTATGTCTGAGCAACCAGGCTACCCTAGCTTGTGCAACCTCCCCTTGGTTCAGATGGGCCTGTGAACGGCCAGTAAGTTAAACCCATAAGCAACCCACAGAGTGAGTGAGGGTGCCTACCTGGGATTCCTGGCAGAGGTGACGCCTGGTGGCTGGCTGGTCCTTATATAGGAAGCCTTGTGTTTGTTTTAAACCAGCAACCTCATCTCAGGGCAGCCTAGTTTCCAGGGGCTGATTTACATTCCTTGGGTCCTCTGGGTAGAAATCAACAATGGAGGTTAAATGCCCAGAGAGATTGTTGGGTTGGCTTGGGGTGGCCATCTGCTCCAGCTGTCCACAGATGGCCCTGGTTTCGGTGGGAGGGAGAGGAGTGGCCGGGGGCGTCCAGGCTGGCTTTGCTGCTCTGTGAGATTTCACGCCTTTCTGATGAGATTGGGTGGGTTCAGGGTAGCATGGCTGTAGACTTCACTCCTTTCTGAACCCCCCTCAGCTCTGGATAGAGCGAGTTTACCGTCATTAGCTTTCTAAGCTTTCTAGTCCTGCCCCTGCAGTTCTGACTGACGCTGCTCTGGCTTCCACAAGCCTCTGGAGCACAAGGGAGCCTGGCTCATGTAATTCTGCCTCCCCAGTGAGGGAAGCCCCTCTTTACAGATGAGGAAACTGCTGGGAGGGTCGGCAGCATGAGCTCCTAACTGTCCTCTAAGGAGCAGGTGTAGGGATCATTTTAATCAGTGGTTAAACCTCAGTCATTCCTCCTGGGTGAGGCATGATGACTCTGCATGGCTTGGTGTTTCTTGTGGGCTTGCCTCCCCTCCCTCAGCCCAGTTCTGAGGGAACAGATTGGATCTGGAGGCAGAAGGGCTGTGACCTGCTATTGGCACAGGTAACTACTCAAATTGGTTGGCGTTAGGCAGATCACTAATAATCCCCCTTGTGGCAGGGCTGCCTCTCAGTGGTTTTGAGGATTCTTACAATCTGTAAGGCAGCGTAGAGATGACAAGTATTTTTGTATCGGGCCCAAGACCTTGTGCCAAGCATGTGCGATGGTCACACGTCCTTGGATGAAGGGTTAACTAACCTTGACCTGCTTCATCTATTGGATGCCCAAGCAGTGACTCCTAGGGTTGAATGCAATGTCTGTAATCTAAGTCCCAGGAGAAGCTCACTTCAGGCGGGGGCTCCGTGCAAGAGGCAGATGGTGGCAGTGGAGCAGGCTTTGAAGGGAGGGCATCGCTGCAGACAGAGTGGCATGAGTGGTGGGAGCAAACAGACACGGTGTAGACCGTTGGGGACAGCAGTGAGAAGGCTGGGTGGCTTGGAGGATGGTGGTGGTGGGAGGAGGCCAAAAGAAAGGCCTCGAAGGAGTTGGGGTCAGGCTCTGCACTGCCTCGAAAGCTGCTGGCACAAGGAGCGTGGGCTTTATGTGCAGGAGGGAGCCCTCTGAAGGGTCTTTAACAGGAGGGACAGAGCATAGAATCATGAGCGAGTTGGAAAGCCTTAAAGACTTGGGATGCTGGACCTTTTATTTCACTGGAAGAAAAAAGACAACTTCCCCCAAAGCCACCCAGCCTAATCCAGTGCTCTCTCTCCTTCCTGCTTCCAGGAAAGTCAGTGTGCCCCAAGCAGGGTGGGCCTGGGGCAGAGAACCAGTTAGGGGGAGGTCTTGAGGCAGTAGAACCAGCTGATGGTTAAATGCCACCCGACTTGACGATTGACTTCAGGGGGCACAGGACCCATGTAGAGACTCTCGGGACAGTGGAGGCCCAGGAGGGGCTGGACAGCCCCTCAGTAGAATGTGAGGGACTGAGTACCTCCTGCTGAAAAACATCTCATCACCAGCTGCAGCGGGGGCTTCACCCTGACAGCCACCTGAGCTTAGGGCCAGAGGCTGAAGGTGGAGGTGGGCGGGGAGAAGACCCACAGCTTGTTCACAGCCACCCTCGCCCCCACCAGAAGGAAACCACCTGAAACCCCAACTATGGTGACCAGGCACCAACCTAGACACGAAGCCTCTGCTTTTTCCTGACCCTGGAGGCCTCTGGAGGTAGGAACCGCTGTGTTGATCTTAGATAACAGCACCAGCGAGCAAACACCCACACGGTTGTCTTATCTTTGGGAAACAGAGGTGGCCTGTGTGATGGAAACCACCCTGACCACATACCACAGAGGAGGCTGGTGGGAAGGAAGGAAGATCTGATGGACGGCAGAACCACCGAGGGAGGAGGGTGGCAGCACCCAGAAAAGTACCTCCGCCCACTCAGAGCTGGGGACTGGGGACAGACCCGGGTGGAAATGCATGCAAATCTGGACCAGGAGGAAGACCATCGACTTGGGGAAAGAGCCAACTTCCCTGGCTCACTTCCCCCCTCATTCCTTCCCAGGGTGGGTAATACCAAGCCCAGATTGGCACCTCCCTGTGCCTGCGTCCTCCTGAGAACTGAGGTGCTCTACGCATGCTTCCTCTGGATAGCTTGCTGGCTGCTGATTTTCTTCCCATTGCAGGGCCTCGAGGGCCTGCCTTAATGAGTGGAGAAGCACTCGCCACTTTAATTGCTATGTGTACATGGTGTCTGACAACAAATTATCTTTATACACTTTCCAATGTAATTCATTTGTACTAATAATTAGTTGGCTTAGCAAGCACTTTTTTCATTAATTAGGCTGAGCCTTGGTCTGAATGAGGCAGGTTTGGGGGCTGTAGGAAGAGGTGTTATTTTCTGAGATGGGGCTTTTCGGTGGCCTTTTCCTCCTAGTTCTGGCTCCCGTAGCCTCTAGGTCAGCATTGTTCAATAGAAATATCATGTCAGCTTCAAATAAGAGCTTCTATGTAATTTTAAATTTCCCAGGAATCTCATTAAAAAAACAGAGAAACAGGTAAAATAAACTTTAATAATATTTTAACTCTAAATATTCCAATATTATTGGTCCAACGTGTAATAAATATAACAATAATCAATGAGGTATTTGACCCTGGCTTTCTTTTTAAAAAAGTATATTTTTATTGATTTCAGAGAGGAAGGGAGAGATAGAAACATCAATGATGAGAATCATTGATTGTCTGCCTCTTGCATGCCCCCTACTGAGGATCGAGCCTGCAACCTGGACACATGCCCTTGACCGGAATCGAACTCAGTACCCTTCAGTCTGAAGGCTGACGCTCCATCCACTGAGCCAAACCAGCTAGGACCCTGGCTTTTTTTTTTTTTTTACTAAATCTTCAAAGTCCAGTGCATCGTATTGGTACAGCACACAAGTCAGACCAGCCACATTTCAGTGTGCAGTAGCTGCATGTGGCTTATGGCTACTGCTCGGGACAGCAGTTCTAGATACTCATGGGTGCCGCTCTTCACACTTCCATAACTGGACCCATGCTCGCCCTTTCATCCCCCTGCTGTCCACACCAAGCCTCCCCCCCGGGGGCTTCCCTGTTCTGCCATCGTGGGGCTGGAGCCCCAACAAGTTGTCTCTTTCGTATCTTTAGTCTTTCTCTTCAGTATCTTCTTCCCTCAGCCCAGGTCTCTAATCCTGGAAAAGTCTGTTTTATACCAATCCCCCTTTCTTCATGCTACCACTTCCAGGCAGAATTCCTTTCTCTGCATCCTATTCCTTACTGTGCACTGATCCCTCAAAGCCCTATAGCTTGACTCTCATCTCCACCCAGAGTTGCTGGTGCAGCCTTAGCCTAGGGACCATGCAGTGTCAACTGCTGGGTGCATACCTAGCTGAGCTGCACTGGCCTCATGGGGGAAGCAGATCATTTTATGCCTAATCTTCTGATTCTGACCCAGATGTTCGGAGGGGGGCTCCAGGGTCTATATTTTAACAAGTACTAGTATTTCTGAGTATAAAATAATGCTTGATCCTAGCAGAAAATCTGGCCATGTGGAAGATAAACTATGTATATTTTAACTTACTTTGGAAAATTTCAAACATGAAAAAAAAAGGTAGAGTAATATGAGTCTCCAAGCATCTACCATCAACTTCAACATTTATTAACATCTTGCTTCTTCTATTTAAACCCCACATTGTTTTTGTCATTTTTGGGAATAATGTAAAAGCAAATCCTAGTAATTGTGTAATTTCAGCCTTACAAACTTAGGTATATATCTTTAACAGGTAAAATACATAGTTGCCTTATTTAAATAAGGATCCAAACAAAACCCACATTTGGTTGATGTATGTCTTAAGTCTCTTTTAGTCTACAACAATCTCCCTTACCTCTTCCTCCTCTCTTTCATCCCAAGTCATTTATTTTATTTATATATATATATATATATATATATATATATATATATATATATATATATATATATATAATTGATTTTAGAGTGGGAGAGGGAGAAAGAAACATCGATTGGCTGCCTCCTGCATGCCCCCCACTGGGGATCAAGCAGTGCCCTGACCATGAATCAAGCCTGTGATTCTCCGGGGCACAGGACTATGCTCAACCGATGGAGCCACACCAGCAGGGTCCAAGCCAGCAGGGTCCATGCCATTTATTAAAAAAACAAAAACAAAAACAGGTTATTTGTCCTGTACAATTTCCCACCTTCTGGACTTTGCTGATCGCTTCCTGTGGTATTACTTAACTTGTTTCTCTCTCCCCTGCTTTCTATAAACTGGTAGTTATATCTTCAGATGAAGTTTCATTAGGATTTAACTTTTACTTTTGGGGGAGAATACTTCATTGTTGGTATTGTGTACTTATTATTGAATTCCATTACAAGGCATACAATATCTGGTAGCCCCACTTTTACTGAAGTTTTAAGAATAAGATTTATCCATGAATTCAAGTGTTGTTAAATGATCCTATTCATTTTAAAGTTCCCTGTTAACTTTTCACTTAATGGATTTATCTTCTATTGATAATTGTGTACATCCATCATTTATTAGGAATTACAAATGGTGATTTTTAAAATTGTTCCTTAATATAGTTTATACAGGAAAGGCAAAATACATGATTATTTTTCTATTTGTTTACTAATTTTCAAAGTACATTTGGTGTCCTAGCTACCTCCAAAATTTTATTTCTATCATAAACTCAGGGTCTTTTTATTTTTTATTAAAAAATCTTTTAAAATTGATTTATTTAGAGAGAGATGATGGGGGGGAGAGGAGAGAGAGGAGAGAGAGAGAGAGAAAGAAAGAAACAGAAAGAAACATCTATGAGAGAGAATCATGGATCGGCTGCCTCCTGCACGCCCCCCAGTGGGGATCGAGCCCACAACCGGGGCATTAGCCCTGACTGGGAATTGAACCTGGGACCCTTGAGTTCACAGGTCTATGCTCAACCACTGAGCCATGCCGGCCAGGCGGATTTTTTATTTTTTGAAAATATTTTTTAAAATTGATTTTTAGAGAAAGAGGGACATAGATAGAAACATTGATGAGAGAGAAACATCATCGATCGGCTCCCTTCTGCATGCCCCCCATGAGCAGATCAAGCCCACATAAGCCCTGACCAGGATTCTAACTGGTTGCCTCTTGGTTCCTGGGTTGATGCTCAACCACTGAGCGACACCAGCTGGGTGGATTTTTTATTTTTTTAATCCTCACCCGAGAATATTTTTTTCCCATTGATTTTTAGAGAGAGTGGAAGCAAGGGGGAGAGACAGAAAGAAACATTGATGTGAGACACATTGATTGGTTGCCTCCTGCACACTCCTGGACCCTTGCTGAGGATCGAGCTTGCAAAGGACGTTCGTGCCCTTGACCAGAATAGAACTGTGACCCTCAGTCTGAGGGCCAATGCTCTAACCACTGGGAAACCGGCTAGGGCTAAAGGTAACTATTTTTATTGTGATTTTTTTCCTTTGGCCTATGAATTATCTCTATGTGTATTGCTCAAATTTCCAAATATTTGAAGATTTTCCAAATATATTTCTATTATTGATTTCTAATTAACTTTCATTATAGTCAGATAATATGTTTTGTATGATTTCAGTTCTCTTTAGATTTGTTAAAGTTCGTTTTAGGGTCCAGAAATCAGTCTGTCTTGATGATTATTCCAGATGCACTTGAAAAGAATGCATTTAAGTTCCACTGGGTAGAATATTCTATAAATGCCAATTACGTCATTGAGTGATAGGTTTTTTATGTTCTATAAACTTACTGATTTTGAGGGATCTACTTGTTCTGTTACTGAAAGAGGAGTGCTGAGATCTCCAGCTGTAGCTGTGGATTATTTCTCAATTCTGTCAGTTTTTGTTTCACATATTTTGAAGCTCTATTTTAGGTGCATACATATTTAGGATTGTTATGTAATCTTGATGAATTCATGTTCCTTTTTTTAATGTTCTTCTTTATCCCTGATATTTCTTATTCTGAAGTCCTTTTATCTTATATTAATACAGGTATCTCCTGCTCTTTGAAAGTTCATGTTATGCTGCTTCGTTTTTATGAAAGACCTATATTATCTGTTTTTACCAAATGAAAGAAATCTGAAGAGGATTTTCATTTTTATGAAAACGTCAAAAAGCAAAAAGTGTGTTCACTGTTTATTTTGCAGCGTGCACTCCGAGCAGCAAGAGTGGCACCACCCATCTCCCTCCTGAGGACCGACACCCAGGATCTCAGCGCCAGGCACCAGAGCTTCGAGCTGTGTCTGTGAGTGTCTGTGCTTTATCTTGGTTTCTTTCGTGTATCCATTAGCATGATGTGTCCCAAGGTATCAGAAAAACCTGAGAGAGCACATATATGGGTGTCATGTTTAGTGTAAAACTGTACGTAAGTATTTTGATTGTGGTGAATGAAATATATTGTATGAGTGTTGAACTTTGAGCCCACCATTTGTACTATTTACACACACAATCTTGAAAGCTGTTGAAGTTACTGTTGGTTCTGCTAGTAGTAAAGGAGTCTCTTTAAGTTGGCATCAAGTAATGGATAAGATGGAGTCTATTGCTTGAGTGGATTGATGGGTGTTTAAAGCATGGTATGTTATCATATAATTCCTGCTTTTACTATATGTAGTGTTATTTTAAGTTTTACATGTTATTTGGTAGGTTACTTTTGGGTCTGGGAGTGCTCAAAATTTTTTCCATATAAAATAATGGTAATTGCTTCTTCGCTTTATGCCATTTTGGCTTGTGAAGTTTCACAGGAATGCTCTACTTTCAGATATTGGGGGAAACTTGTATAGACACTTCAGCTACCTTCTGATTAGTGTACACACACACACACACACACACACACACACACACACACACACTAGAGGCCTGGTGCACGAAATTCATGCACTCAGTGGGGGGGTTTCCCCAGCCTGGCCTGTGCCCTCTCACAGTGTGGGAGCCCTGCGATCGATCTCCCCAAAGAGGTAGCCCCTGCCACCCATCCAGGGCTCCTTAATGGATTGCCCCAAAGAGGTAGGCCGGAGCTGGGGTCCCGCCTCTGCGGCTCAGCGTGGAGCCTCCGGGACCTCCAGCCTCGCCATGTGGGCGCGCCAGGACCCGGCTCTGCGTGGAGCTGTGCACGCAGCGTCAAGTCCCCGCCCACCCATGCGTGCCTCGCCACACATGCAGCCCCGCCCACCCACCTGTGCCTGCTGCGCTCGCAGGTTGGAGATGGGTTATTACGGCGTGATGACCACATAGGCTTTTATTAGAATAGATAACATATTTTTATTGATTTCAGAGAGGAAGGGAAAGGAGAGAGATGGAAACATCAATGATAAGAGAGAACCATTGATCGGCTGCCTCCTGCATACCTCCTACTGGGGATCCAGCCCACAACCCAGGCATGTGCCCTTGACTGGAATCGAACCTGGGATACTTCAGTCCACAGGCGATGCTCTATCCACTGAGCCAAACAAGTTAGGGTGGTGTTTATATATTTTTAAAAGTCATTCCCGTTGTTTTAATTTATCTGTGTGTTTAGGCTTAAAGTGGGTTTCATATAAATAGTATATAGTGGGTCTTTAAAAAAATCTATTCTGATAGTTCTACCAGGGGCTTTTTATTTATTGTAATGACCTATATTCTTTGGTTTAAATCTGCAACATGGGTATTTGTTTTTCATTTGTCCCATCTGTTTTTGTTCACATTTTTCTCTTTTTCATGCCCACTTTTGGATTGAGTATTTTTATATGTTACCTTCACTATTAAGTTGTTAGCTACCCTCTGTTTTTTTTTTTTAAATTTATTTTTTTAAATATATTTTTATTGATTTTTTACAGAGAGGAAGGGAGAGAGATAGAGAGTCAGAAACATCGATGAGAGAGAAACATCGACCAGCTGCCTCCTGCACACCTCCCACTGGGGATGTGCCTGCAACCAAGGTACATGCCCTTGACCAGAATCGAACCTGGGACCTTTCAGTCCGCAGGTCGACACTCTATCCACTGCGCTAAACCGGTCTTGGCGCTACCCTCTGTTTTATTATTTACTGGTTGACCTAGGATTTACAAATACATCTTCAACATATTACTGTATATCTTCAAATATGACACCCCTTCAGGTATACTAGACCCTTACAAAAGGCTACTTTCATTTCCCCTTTCCATTGTTGTCACATATTTTATTTTTACATAAGCTATAAGCCCACAATGTACTTTAGTCAATATGTTTAGAGAGATGAAAGAAATGAAAGTCTTATATTTACTCAGATATTTACTATTTCTGGTGCTCCTTGTTTCTTTGTGTAGATCCAGATTTTCATTGGTAGTATTTTTATTGTGCCTGAAGAACTTCCTTACATTTCTTGTAATACAGCTCTGCTGGTGATTCATTCTTTCAGATTTTCTTTTTTAAAGCCTGTATTTCACCTTTTAATTTTATTTATCTTTAAAATTTATTATACTAAATTAGCACCATTATATTTTAAATTAATTTTTATTGTAACTGGTTAACATCCTATAAATTTCAGGTGTACAGTATTATGATTTATTTGTGTACCCTATTGTGTTCTCGTCTCTAAAAGTTCAGTTTCTATTCATTAGCATATATTTGACCCCTTTACCCATTTTGCCCTCTTCCATCCCCTTCCTTTTTGGTGCCACCATTTTGTTGTACCTATGAGTTTGTTTTGTTAGTTCACTTGTTACTTTTTTGTTTTGTATTCTACAGATGAGTAAATCATACGATTTTTGTCCTTTTCCATCGGACTTAATTTTGCTTAACACAATACCCTCAAAATCCACCTATTCTGTTACAAGGGGCAATATTTCAACTTTTTTTAATGTCATGGTAGATTTCATTATATCTATATATTGCACATCTTATCCATTCATGCATTGATGAATGCTAATCTTGTTTATTGTAAATAATGTTGCAATGAACATAGGGGTTCATATAGCTTTTTAAATGTTTTCATATTCTTTGTATAAATACCCAGAAAAGAAATTGCTGAGTCATATGGTAGTTTAATTAAAAAATTTTTAAAAAAATATTTTTATTGATTTCAGAGATGGAGAGGGAGAGATAGAAACATCAATGAGAATCATTGATTGGCTGCCTCCTGCATGCCCCCTACTGGGGATTGAGCCCACAACCTGGGCATGTGCCCTTGACCGGAATTGAACCTGGGACCCTTCAGTCCGCAGGCCAACACTCTCTCCACTGAGCCAAACCGGCTAGGGCTGTTGCATTTTTTATAATAGCCATTTTAACAGGTATGAGGTGATATCTAATTGTGGTTTTGATTTGCATTTTTATAATTATTGATGTTGAACATATATTCTTATCTGTTGGCCATCTGGATGTCTTGCTTAGAAAAATATCTATTCATATCCTCTGTTCATATTTTAATCATTTTTGTTGTTGTGCGTGCATTCTTTATATATTTTGGATACTAATGCCTTATTCAGAAGTATCATTTGCAAATATCTTCTCCCATTTGGTTGGTTGCCTTTTTTGTATTTTTGGTCGTTTCCTTTGCTGTGAGGAAGCTCTTGAGTTTGATATAGTCCCATTTCTTTTTGTTTTCCTTGTCTTTGAAGTCAAATTCACATAAACACCACTGAAACTGATTGTTCAGAAGCTTATTACCTATGTGTTCTTTCATGTATTTTATTATTTTAGGTCTTACATTCAGGTCTTTAAATCCATTTTGAGTGAATTTTTGTATATGGTATAAGATAGTGTCAAGGCCTGGGTGGTGTGAGTCATTCGTTGTAGCATTGGCTTGCACACAAAAGGGTTATGGGTTCGATTCCCAGTCAAGGGCACACATACCTTGGTTGCAGGTTCAGTCCTCAGCCCCAATCAGGGCACATGCGGGAGGCAACCAATTAATGTGTCCCTCTCATATAGATGTTTCTCTCTCCCTCTCTGTTTTGTCCCCCATCCCCCTCAAAAAATAAATGGAAAAAATATCCTTGGGTGAGGAATCACAACAAAGATAGTGGTCTAGATTATTTTGCATGTGGCTGTCCAGTAATCCTAACACCATTTATTGAGACTTTCCTTTCTCCACTGTATTATCTTGGCTCCTTTGTTGTAAATTAACACATTGTGGGCAGATCATGAGCATTCTTGTGTTTTTATATTACACAGTGTTTTACATACATATTAAAGGCATGCCTTAAAATTAAATAGCTGTTGCATTTTGAAGTTACTTATTACATGTTTTTACAAGCTAAGATCTTTTTAAAGTATGATACTTTGTAAATAGAAACTTATCTGGCCACTGGGTAAAAACTTATCTGGCCACTAGCAATAAAACTACTGGTGTGCAACGTCAACTGCCTCATATATGTGTAGGTTTATTTCTGGGCTCTCAATTCTGTCCCATTGTTCTTTTTTCTTTTGGTCTGTGTGTCTTTTTCTGTCAGTACCATACTGTTTTGATTAGTTTTGTAATATAGTTTGAAATTGGAGAGAGTGATACCTCTGAGTATTTTTTGTACCCCCCCCCCAATCCCCCAGGATTGCTTTGGCTATTTGGAATCTTTTGTGGTTCCATACAAATTTTAGGATTTTTTTTCTATTTCCATAAAAATGCCATTGGGATTACATCGAATCTATAGATTGCTTTAGGTATTATGGGCATTTTAACAATGTAATCCTTCCAGTCCATGAACACAGACTACCTTTCCATTTCCTGTGTAGTTTTCAATGTATAGGTCTTTCACCTCAAGTGTGTTTCTAGGTACTTTCTTCTTTTTGTTGCAATTGTAAATGGGATTGTTTTCATTTTTCTTTCAGATAGTTCGTTGGTAGTATATACAAATACAAAAGATTTCTGTATATTGATTTTATATCCTGCAACTTTATTCATTTATTTCTATTCTTTTGATGGATTAAAAAAATATATATTTTATTGATTTTTTTCAGAGAGGAAGGGAGAGGGGTAGAGAGTTAGAAACATCGATGAGAGAGAAATACAGCTGCCTCCTGCATGCCCCCCACTGGGGATGTGCCCGCAACCAAGGTACATGCCCTTGACTGGAATCGAACCCAGGACCCTTCAGTCCGCAGGCCGACGCTCTATCCACTCAGCCAAACCGGTCAGGGTTTTTGATGGATTTTTAAAAAATATATATGAAATTATGTCTTCCACAGATAGTGACAATTTTACTTATTCCTTTCCAACTTGGATGCCTTTTATTTCTCTTTCCTATTGCTTTGTTTAGGACTTCCAGTACTATGTTGAATAAGAGTTGAGTGAACATCCTTGTCTTGTTTCTGATCTTCGAGGAAAAGCTTTCAGCTTTCCACCAGAGTATGTTAGCTGTGGGTTTGTTATTTATAACCTTTAATTGAGAGGTTTTAAATCCTAAGTGGATGCTGTATTGTGTCAAATACTTTTCTGCATCTCTTGAGATATGACTCTTATCCTTCACTTTGTTAATGTGGTGTAGCACTTTCATTGATGTGTGGGTGAATTCAACAGTGTTTGGTATATGGCAAATTCAAGTGTTGCTTTTTGGAATTTTCTGGAGTTTTTTTCTGAGTATTTTCCATCTGTGGTTGGATAAATCCCCAGATGCAAAACCTGCGGAGATGGCGGGCCGACTGTACTTGTTCCTCTATGTAATAGGTCTTTTTCTCTGGCTGCGTGTATGATATAAAGTTTCAGCAATTTTATTATGGGGTATGTATGTGTTTATTGATTCTTCTACTTGTGTCTCCAATTTTCTTGGATCTGTAGGGTTATAATTTCCCAATTTGAAAAATTCTGACATTCTTCAAATATATTTTAAGATATATTTTTAATTTCAGAGAGGAAGGGAGAGAGAGACATCAATGGTGAGAATCATTGGTCAGCTGCCTCCTGTACCCCGGGCATGTGCCCTGACTGGGAATTGACCCATGACCTCCTGGTTTATAGGTCGATGCTCAACTACTGATTCCTGCTGGCCAGGCTCTTCAAATATCTTTTTTCCCCTACCCTCCCTTAAACTTGTTTTCTCCTTGGGACTCCACTTTACACATTTCAGACCTCTTAATACTGTCCCACAGTTGCTTGGTTCATCTTTTGAGTTCCTTTTTCTCTGCACTAATTTGTAGTTTCTATTGCTCTCTCTTCTGACTTAGTGTTACCTTTCTCACTGTAGTGTTTAATCTGCTCTTACTCCCATCCAGTATGTTTTCACTTTAGATACTGATTTTTTCATTTCTAGGAATTGTTGGCAACATTTTTTTTCTTCCATTTTTATGTTCCTTTTCCTTTACGTTCTTTAATATATTTATAATAGTGTTTTAAGGTACTCTGCTAATTACATGGTCTCATTTCTGTGATTGTCAGGTTTCTTTTTTCCTCTCCTGGTTATGGGCAGTATTTTCCTGCTTCTTTGCATGCTGGTAATTTTGGATTGGCTGATAGACTTTTTAAAGGAAAAACAAAATTTACAAAGTGTTGGGCTTTGATCTGGCACTAAGTGAAATTATTGCTGGATCAGTTTGATCTTTTCAAGACTTACTTTAAGATCCAGAGCAACCTTTCCTCTAGGCCTAAATTAGGATTTACTGTTAAGGTATGCATCTTTCTTAGTACCCAATGTCTTATGTTTATGAAGTTTTTGCACTCTAGTTATTGGGAAAATGAACTGCTGTGAATTCCCAGGAATTGTTTGGTCTATTGCTTTCCAGTCATGATGATATATGCAGATTAACACTTGGTCAAAGATTCTAAGAACCTCTTTTGCAGATCGCAGGAGCCTGCTGTCTCCTTTTTAGTATTCTGCCCCCTATGTTGTGGCTTAGCTTTCCTGAACTCTGATCTGTCTCTTCAACTCAGACCATTGGATTCCGTCTCCCTGTCCTTTGGCCTGGCAGTAGGCTGGGATAATTGTGTTCCCCTCACTTGTTTTTGTTCTCCTTAGTACTGCCTGTTGTCATATGTACTAGCGGTTTACAGTGTGATGAAAATCACAGCCGTTAATCCTTCATGTGCGCAAGTGGAGACCGCTCCTGTAGAACTCAGAACGAAAGCCTGTGAAATGTCTAGTTTTGACAGTTGTTCTCATTGACTTGCTGTTTTCTATTCAGAATGGATAATTATTTGATGGTAATTATTGGGCTACCTGGCTCAAAGGACCATAAGAACCCCCCCCCCCCCCCCCCCACGTAGATCCCACACAAGTATCATGGCTATGAATGATGTGGCCCTACTCTTCCAGATTCAGTGGTTTGAGGGACTACCTTAATGTTGTCTGGGGGTTTCTTTTGCCACACTAGTTGCTTTGTTTTTGTGAAAGGATTAAAAACTGATGGCTGCTACTGCCTTTTTGTCTTGTCAAGCACTCTATACCTTTTAAATTATCATTTTATTCATCTCATTTGGGTGTTAACTGTCCTGGAAGGTTAACATAGTATTTCCACTTAATTAGCTTAGTTTACAGTCAAAAAATTTGGGGGATTTTTCTTACCCCCAAATGGTGAATCTGTTACTACTCTAAGCATAAACTGTTGAAAGTGATAATTTTATATACCTCCAGATTATCTAAACTGATCCTCCCTGGTGTAAATTACACACAGAGCACATGGCCAGGACAGCATTGACCTATCACTAACCCAGTGTGTGACATGGAACTAGTCCCTTCTCATTCATTTGTTGACAGTACCTGGCACCATCAGGAAGACTAGACTTGTCCCTGGGGAGCAGAGTTTTGTTAGGGAAGGCAGACATGTATGTAAAGCTAACTAGAATTAGTGTAGTCTGTGTCCACTGAGAAAAGTATGCAAAGGTGCCTTCTTGGGTCTTTCTTCTCTCTAACAGGAAAGAAAAAACACAAAGAAATCACCTGCAGTTTTCATATTGTTCTACAAAGGCTTGGATTTTACCAAATGACCTGGAAGTCTGGGTGGGCTGGGCCATGGCCTCTCTATCCTCACTTCAGTCAACATAGTTTCACTGCTTCCCATTTTATATATTACAATCTAACACTTATGTCAAAACGGGTTTTGCTGCAGAAAAACAAACGAAGGATGAGAAACAGAAGAATGGGGACCCACACTTACCTGTGCACACAGCCTCCTGAGGTGAGTGGCTTGACCTTTTGTCTAAGAGCATTCGTATCAAACTACTGTGATCCACTCCTAGATAACAGCTGAGGAGCCCCCTCATTCTACATTGAGAGTACTGGCTTTACCAACTTGGCAGTGGTCAATTCTGTGCCAGTTTCTCAGTAAATTGGGAGTATATGCTTATAGTTTGTTGTGCTGCTTAATGTGTGAAAGACCCAAATGCACTGCCAGCTCACAGCAGGTCTCAGGAAATGGTAGCTATTGTTGTGACTGATGATTCAGGCGAGGGTCCCAGGGCCTCTGCTGAGAGGTGATAGTTGGCTCAGGGTCAATTTAGACCAGAACCCCTCCTGTCACTGACAGGGTCAATAAACTGAACAAATGGTGTCCCCCCCTTCCGGCCAGTCTCTTAACTATATTGATATTTGGTTAGTACTGTCCTGCATTTACATGGCATTTTGTGGATCACCCACATGTATTAGCTCATTTGAGTCTTGCAACCATTCTGTAGAGCAGACTTTATTAGTCTCATTCTACAGAAGAGGATGTGCATGCAGAGCCAGGGTTACAGTCCCCGTAACTGAAGTCAAGCCTAGCACTCCTTTTACTGTGCTTTGTATATGGTACCTTCTGTATAAACTCAATCACCAGGATGCTCACACTGTGACAGACCAGCAGGGACTTGGTTCATGTTGACCAACAAGAGTCAAAATGAACTTTTTTAGGGAGGATAATTAATGTAGGGAGAATTATAAACATCATGTTTAATTACTTTGGAAACACAAACTCCCAAATAATGCCTGAACCCAAAAGGTACATAAAAATGGCCAAAAAATATTTTTAAATAATAGATCATTTGTAGTTTCTCCCTCATAATGAGTGCTTTTTAAATTACAAACCATATCAAATCATGTTAAGGCAGATGATCAATCTCGTTGCAGTTTTAACTATTCCTGGGAAAGTCATCTTGTTGGAGCGCTTCCTTGCCGCTGTTTGGTCAGTTGGTCCAGGAATTGGCAGGTGGGGAGCTGGCCCGCCAGTCTTGTCACTGCTCGTTCTGCTGGCTCTCTGTGACGGAAGCAGACACGGAACCCTGGCCCTTGTTGACATCACTGATGCACACCCACTGCCCGTCGACTGACTCCTTCCACAGGGTCACCTGCAAGCCAGCACACACACAGGTCAGCACCCCTTCCCTCTGCTCTCATCTCACTGGATCCCTGAATGATTGCCCAAATTCCCAAAGAACCATGGCTCACAGCCATGTGGGAAAACAGAGGACTAATCTTGGTTTCCTCACTGAAATCCCATCAAAACAGAAGAAAAATCTACACAAAGGAGGTGACATGAGTAGTTCCAAATTTCACTCTCCCTTAAAAGAACAACTGTTCATGGACAAGACACCACTAAGAAAGTCCTAGAACAGGGGAGGGAGTGAGGCTGACACCCCCTGCCCTAGAGACCAGGCTGGACTGCATTAGGTAAGAGGGATGGCTACATGCTAACTGCACCTCTCCTCCAGGCAGGTGCAGTTCTTCCGGAGGGAGGAGAGCACTAGGATGACATCCATCCAGCACCACAAGAGGGGCTTGCAGGTGAACCTGTGGGGTCAACCACTGGGAATCCGATTGTAACGGAGAAGGGGCTTCCAACAACCAGCACTCAGATCTTCGCAGACGTAGTTCCTACCTGCAGAATCTGGCTAGTCCCAGGGCACAGTCTGACCAGGGAACTTGGTGAGTGCAGATCGCCTAATTCAGGTCCCCAAACCAGAGTTCTGCCTACTTTTGTAAGTCACAGCCCTCCCTACCTGCTGCAGGAAGAGCCGGCAAGAACACCTCGAATCCACAAGTCCCACCAACTGTATAGCTGAGAGGAAGGCGGGCAGGCAGAGCTGATTACCTCCAGCGCAAAGCCAGTGGCCCCGTTCGGCCATGTCATCCGTTGGGGCATGCACTGGCTTAGGTCAAAGCCATAAAGAACATTAGTGGCCTTAGAGCTGCTTTTCCTGCTGAGCCCAGGAAAGAAACTAATTTGTAACCACACTTACTGCTGAAAACAGCCTTCAGACCAGGGACCCTTCCCAGAGCACATGCGAAGCGGTGTATTCCATCAAATATCCCTGCTGCTAGGGGCACTGGAACAGAAAGCACAGACTATGGCTGTTCCTGTCTCCAGAGCAAAACAAGTGACCTCACCTGACCACGATATTCAGTGCACTCTTGCCTGATTGGGGTCCCCAAATGAGCTCTGGGTGCTGTCCCACCAAAGCAGGGAAGCTAATTCACAGCCCCACCTACTGCTGAGTAGAATACTCAGTCCTGACCATGCAGTAAGTTTGACCAGGCAACTGTGAAGTTCATTCTATAGACTCAGTAGGGCAGGAAACCAAGCCAGCAATTGTATCTAGCTGTTCTCAGCCAATAGCACCCCCTACCTCAGTGTTCAAACAGCTGCCTCACCCAAAGATATATCCTAACAGCAAAGGGTCTATCTTTGCTATTAGGACCTCATCTGTCCAAAGATATTACTAACAGACACGTCCAGAAAACCAAACTGAACCTGTAAAGCCTGGAAGAGGAGACCACACTCCAGTGTGCAGGTACCAAGGATCATGAAAAACCAGGTAAATATGACACCACCAAAGGAAACTAATCAAGCTCTAGTACCTGACACTAAAGAAATGGAGATGTATGAACTATCAGATAAAGAATTCAGAGTAATCCTTTTGAAGTTTAGTGAACTACAGGATAAATGAGATTAGTTAAAACAATGCATGAATAACACGAACTTTGGCAAAGCAATAGAAACCATCAAAAAATAAAAACTCAAATCCTAGAACTTAAAAATTCAGAAACTAAACTTAAGAATTCCAAAGCAGCCTCAACAGTGTACAAGAAAGAACTATGATCTGGAAGATAGGACATTTGAAAGTATCCAGTCAGAAGAACAAAAGAATGAAGAAGAGTATAGAAAGCCTACAGGAATTATGGGACCTAATGAACCAACCCCCACAAAAAAACCCCACCACCAATATAGTAGCCCCCCATCCATAAGGGATATGTTCCATGACTCCTCTAGTAGATGCCTGAAACGTGGATAGTAGTACTGAACCCTATACATTATACCTACGACAAAGTTTAATTTATAAACAAGGCACAGTAAGAGAGAGTAACAATAATAAAATAGAACAATTGTAAACAATATACTATAATAAAAGTTATGTAATATGGTCTCTTTTTCAAAGTTATCTTACTGTACTACACTCTTCCTTTATTTAAAGAAAGCACGTTATGGCTTCTCTTTGGCATAACTGAATTGCCAGCATCACTACTCTTGTGCTTTGGGGCCATTAAGTACAAAAAGGGTTACCTGAACATAAGCACTGTGCTATCGCAATAGTCACTATGACTATGACAATGACATAGATATGCTGGATAAAGGGATAATTCATGACGAGAGAGAATCATTGATTGGCTGCCTCCTGCACGTCCCACACTGGGGATTGAGCCCACAAACTGGGCATGTGCCCTGACTGGCAATCGAACCGTGACCTCCTGGTTCATAAGTCAATGCTCAACCACTGAGCCACACCAGTGGGCTAGAAATATCTTTAACTTTCAAGAAAATTGGAATTAACTCAAACAGTAATAAAATATGAAGTTAACATCCTTATGTAAACTTAAAGGGCAGTAAGATTTAAGGATATAATTAGGACACATGCTCAAAATGCAGGCTTCATTAACTGCATTTTCCAGTGGGTAAAGACAAATGGGGCCCTGTCCCCAGAAATGCTGTGTACCTTATTATCTCCACCCGAGACGGCCAGAATGTTGGCTGTGATGGACCAACTCACGTGCCACACAACATCATTGAACTTGTGCAGTAGTTTGGGAGACCACGTATTGCTTGAGGCATCGTCACAGGTCCAAACGAACACACGACCATCCTGGGAAGACAGGAGAGTCAGGAGATGGGGCAGTTTTCATGTCTTCAAAGTCACTTTCTTGTTTCAGTTCCCTCTGCTGTCTATACTTTCTCAACTGAATGGGTCTGGCTGCCTAAAAACCAAGTTCAGAGAATGAGAAGGGAGAAAAAAAAAACAAAAAACCTCTCAAAAATAGGACCAAACAAAACAGGCACAAATGATATATATAAAAGGCCTGGCTTAATTCTGGCCTGGGGTGTTGGGTAGCTTATAATTAAAGGCTTGTCCTTGGTCTTACTTTCGTGATCTGCCCGGGAAGAGTGGGTAGTGGATGAGCCCAGGTCTTAAGATCTTCCCATTGCCCTGGTCCTTGTTTGGGAACAATCTCTCAGAACTGTACCTGAGCACTTCCATTCTCTACTCACACAAGCTTCAGCAGGGGAAGCTGGTCCTGCTCTTGGCTCAGTGGAGGCAAGCCACTTGTGGCTTCATATCAAGAGTTCACTGGGTGATGACCTGCTCCACACTCTGCTATCTGCACGGGCCCAAAGGTACTTGTTGCCCTGCTCTTACCTTTCAAGGACTCTCCCCTAAGGGGACTGTAAGGGCTGATGGGACTCATTCAGAGATTAAATAATACAGGATGCCCTCAGGGGCCTGACTGACCTGGGAACAACTGGCGATGGTGCTGGTGGGGAGACCAATGGAAGGGGCCCAGGCCACGTCTCGAACCCAGTCACTGTGTGCTTCCAGCTTCTGTTCCTCCTTCCACTGGCCATCCTCTTCCTCCCTAAAGGGGAGATCAGAAGAGAATCGGGTAGCAGCCCAGGAGCCTTTCCCACACCTCTATTGTGCACGTGGATCACATTCCTTCTCCACATTGTAAGCTCCACAGGGGCTGAGAAACTATTCCATCTGTCTGATTTCATTTGTTGAGTCTGCAGAGTTTTATCCAATTCACCAGCTATAATGCACTGCTTTTCCACAGCCAAGTCAGCTCTAGCAATTAGGAATAAGGGAAAGAGTGAATGAAACTGCTTCAGCTAACAGCAAGTTGTTTTTTTTTTTTTTTTTTAAAGGATGTCCTCTGACAGTGAAAACAGTATTCTATGGGCAAGAGGAAAAAAGATGATTCTGTTTTTTTCTGAACTGTGGCTGTCATGGGAGGTAGAGTAGAAGGCTGTCCCCTTGAGAAGTCCGTGAACCCCACTTACTTCCACAGCTTGATGAGGTTGTCACAGCCGCCTGAGGCAAATTTCTTGATGTAGTTGGGCTTCTGTCCTGAAGGCTGGTCTATGAGGCTTCCAGGTACAACAGCAGGGGCCCAGCTGACGGCATTGCAGCCAATCTGTAAGGAGGGGGACTTGTGACTCGGCCCCTTTGCCTGGCAACAGAACACGCTTTGGCAGAGCCAAGGCTGTTGCTCATTCCCCTCTAGTCCTCAGGTCTGGCTTAGGCAGGACAGCAGTTTTTGATGAACTAAGGATTAGCCACTCAATTCTCCTTTAAGGATTCCTACCAGGGTGTATATTTTTCAGCAGTATGCATTTAAAGTGAGAATTAGGGACTCTCAGGAATTTAAGAAACAGAACATTTTTCAAACATGAAAGGAGGACAGATTCAGAAAACCATACATAGTAAATATCTAGCTTCGTGAATTACTCTGAAACACTCTTGAAACCATCACCAAGTTAAGAAATAAGACTGCAATTTACCCCGGAAGCCCTGTCATTATGTCCTACTTGATTCACAGCCCCTCTCACCCCGTAAGTACCCATTATCCTGACTTATAATCTTTTTGTTTTAGTTTTGTTACCCAAATGTGCATCCTGACACTACAGTTTAGTCTTGCTGGTTTTTTTTTTTTTAATGTTTTTCACATCTCCTAATTTATAGCTTCCTCCTCTGATCCTTTTATTTTTTGTAATTTTTCTGTTGAAGAATCAGTGTCATCTGATCTGTAGTTTCTCAGGCTGGGTTTTGCTGTTAAATACTCAGTTCAACATACTCCTCTGAATTCCTACATTGTGAGCTGGATCCAGGACGGGATCAGACTCAGGTTTGACCCCTTTGCCAAGACAACATGTGGTGGTGTATTCTTTCATCAGCAGGCACATTATGTGACATTGTCTCTATTTTGTCAGAACCTGTCAGTAATTTATGCCTCTCTTAATTCACCGAGAGTTACAAAATGGTGATACTGTAATTCATTTCTTTGTCATTTATTACATGGAATACCCTAAATAGGGACAATTCCCCTCTTAATATTTGGTTGCCCAGTGGTACAGATCAGATAGGAAAGGCAGAATATGCTTGATTCTTTCAGAATTGGTTCCCTAACTTTCTCCAAAGATGACTGATTCTCTCTTCAATGTCTGAACTCATGGATTTAAGCATATGTGGTAGGTTCAGTTCATTGCAATTATTCTCATTTTTGACACTCGTATTGCCCATCTTTGGCACTGTGAACCTGTCCAAGTTGGCTCCTTTGACATAATCCTAGTATGTCAAAATATGACTTTATTTCTTTTCAATCTGGTATGACAAGACGTACAAGCTCATCTTGTACATTTCCTACTTCAGACCTGGAATTTCCATTTCCTCAAGAGCTCTGGTTTCCTTTAGTGAGAAGCTGTATTCAAGACCATAATCTGGTGCTAGGGATGCTCTCTGCCACATAATTATTTATCTTATAATAATATTGCCAATATGATTACTAAAATCTTTAATAAAGTGTATGCAATGTTCTTCCTATTCTCCACTAGTTCTTTTTTTTTAAAAAAAATATGTCCTTATTGATTTCAGAGAAGGGAGGGAGAGAGAAACATCAATGATGAGAGAAAATCATTGATCAGCTTCCTCTGCACGCCCCACACCGAGGATCAAGCCTGCAACCCGGGCATGTGCCCTGACTGGTGATTGAACAGTGACTTCCTGATTCATAGGCTCATGCTCAACCACTGAGCCACGCTGGCCGGGCTCTCCATGCTTTTATTTTATTTTTTGTGGGGGTCGGGAGGAGGTGTTTGTGTGTGAATGGTACCAACATGAAAATATGTGGATCTTCAGCTGCTCATGTGCCAAACTGTTGTTTTTGTTAAATCTAACCAGAGGATATTTTCTCCATTTGAGAGATTAAAAGGGAAGGAAGGTGATAAGGAAGGGAGGGGGGTAGAATTAGAAAGAGAGAGACAGAGAGAAACATCGATGTGCGAGAGAAACACTGATTGGTTGCCTCCTGCATGTGCCCCAACCGAGGCCGGGAATCGAACCTGCAACCCTTCAGTGTGTGGACCCACACTCTAACCACTGATACAGCACTCTCTGCCTTAGCAGAGCACATGGCCAATACATCCTGTACTCTGCCTTCTAATCCTCATTTAGTCTTAGTTCTCTACCACAAACTGTATTTATACAGGCATACCTTGGAGATACTGCAGATGTGGTTCAGACCACTGCTATAAAGTATCAAAATAAAGTGAGTTGTAATCTTTTTGTTGGTGGAGTCTTGCCTTTAATTTGTAAAAAGCACAGCATCAGTGAAGTGCAATAAAATGAGGTATGCATATATAAATGTCTTTCTAGTCATTTTTGTTGTCTGAAGCTTATTTTCTAGTAGACACATCGATTGGTTGCCTCAAGAAGGGCTCATGAAAACAATAATTATTGAGTTCTTGCATACTAACAACTTTCTATTCTCCAAAATGAAATTTAAAAACAGCTTTGAGGTATACCTGACATTAACTGCACATAAAGTACACAATTTGATGAACTTTGACATAGATATACCCTGAAAAACTAACACTACAATCAAGATAACAAACATATCTCTCTTTCCCCAGCTGCTGGTAAGCTGCTCCGTCCTTCCAAGGAAGCTGAGGAGGCCCTCGCTTCACCTGGCAACTAGCACCACTCCCGGCAGCGCTCACTCACCCAGCACCCGCCCACACCAAGGCCTCCACCTCGGAGCTGCATCTACCCGGCCGCTATCCTGCACGATGGTCCTTCTCCCGCACGACGACGTGGAGCCAGTGATGGAGGATAAGATCAATGCCCTCATCAAAGCAGCTGGAGTAAACGTTGAACCTTTCTGGCCAGGCTTGTTTGCAAAGGCTCTGGCCAATGTCAACACTGGAAGTCTCATCTGCAATGTAAGGGCAGATGGACCTGCCCCAGCAGAAGATCCTGCCCCCTCCACCACTGCTGCCCCAGCTGAGGAGGAGAAAGTGGAAGCAAAGAAAGAAGAATCTAGAGTCTGATGATGTCACGGGCTCTGGTCTTTTTGACTACATTTCTTTTGTAACACATCCAATAAAAAACGAAACTTTAAGAGATGTGTTTGCTCATTTTTAACAAAGTGCTGAAAGAAAAAAAACTTAGCACTAAGAATAGTCCACCTGGTAAAGTTATTATCCAGACTCGAAGGAGAGTTTTTTCTAGACAAGCAAAAGCTTGAGATGAAGTGAGCTGGGAGATGAGTTAGAACTCCTTTTCTCAGAGGGCAGCTTATTTAAAAAAAAAAAAAAAAAAAAAAAAGTTAAAGGTCTTCATCATGATTAAATCAGCCTTATAAAAAGTTAAAGGGATTTCTTTAAACTGAAATAAAGGGTGCCAATTAGTAACAAGAAAACATATGAAAGTATAATCGTAAAGGTAAATAAATATATAGTAAGGTTAGTGGACTAATCACTTACAGGGCTACTAGGAAGGTCAAAAGACAAAAATAGTAAAAATGACTATCACTACAATAATTAAGGGATACAAAAGATAAAAAGATGTGAAATGTTACATTGAAAACATAAAACACGAGTGGGTAGAGAGTAAAAATGTAGAGCTTTAGAATGTATTTAAACTTAAGCTACCAACTTAAAACAAACTTATGAATATAGATTGTTATATGTAAGCCTCATGTAAACCACAAAGCAAACACCTATAGTAGATGCACAAATGGTAATGAGAAAGGGATCCAAGCATGCCACCAAAGAAAGTCATCCAACCACAACTACTAGTAAGAGGAGAGCAAGAGAAGAAGAAAGGAACATAGGAAGTAACAAGAGCCACAAAACAATTATTAAATGGCAATAAGCACATACCTATCAATAATTACTTTTAAAAAAATATACTTTATTGATCTTTTACAGAGAGGAAGGGAGAGGGATAGAGAGCCAGAAACATCGATGAGAGAGAAACATCGATCAGCTGCCTCCTACACACCCCCCACTGGGGATGTGCCCGCAACCAAGGTACATGCCTGTGACCGGAATCGAACCTGGGACCTTTCAGTCCGCAGGCCGATGCTCTATCCACTGAGCCAAACCAGTCAGGGCTATCAATAATTACTTTAACTGTAAAACAGACTAAATTCAACAAAAGAATAGCTGAATAGATAAAAAACCAAAAGCCAAGAGTATGCTGCTGACAAGAGGCTAATTTCGGATATAAGAATACAGACTGAAAGTGAAGGGATGGAAAAATGGAAAACAAAAAAGCTGGGGGTCAAACCTGCAACCCAGGCGTGCACCCTTGGCCAGGGAGTGCGTGACCCTTTGGTATAACACACCTATACTTATGTTAGACAAAATAGACTTTAAAATGAAGACTGTAATAAGAGAAAAAGAAGGGCATTACATAATTATAAAGGTGTCAACCCAACAAATATCCTATCTAATAATAGCCAAACATGGCAACTGACCATACCTTCGCTACACCTCCCATTGGCTAATCAGCGAGATATGCAAATTAAGTGCCAACAAATATGGCGACTAATTTGCATACTGCAGGCAGGGTGGGACAGTGTGAGCCGCCATCCAGGCCCCTGTGGATGACCCCAGGAGCCGCCTGCCTGCTGCCCGGGACCCGATGATCTGGTCCCGGGGCCGCAGGCAGGCCCGCCCCGCAAGCCCCAGAAGCCGCCAGATATGGCAGTGACTCTATCAGTAAGCACTCTGAAAGTCAGTGGCATAAATGCACCAATTAAAAGATTATGTGAGGGTGAATCAAAAACAAAACCCACTTTAAATATAAAGACACATATAGATTAAAAGTAAATGAATTAAGCTGCAGCCGATTTTGCTCAGTGGATAGAGCATTAGCCCATGGACTGAAGGGTCCCAGGTTCGATTCCAGTCAAGGGCATGTACCTCAGTTGCTGGCTTGATCCCCAGTCCCTATCACAGCCTGTGCAGGAGGCAACCAATCAATGTGTCTCTCCCTTTCCCTTCACTCTCTCTAAAATTCAATGGAAAAATATCCTTGGGTGAAGATTAACAAAAACAAAGTAAATGGATTAAGTAACATTAAAGAGATTATAAGAAAAATATGTTCCAAATTTTGTTAATTGTACAGTGG